ATATTTGGAAGGGGAGGGGGCACCCGAAGAGAGACATGTCATTCCAGAAGACCGCTGGGTGTGTGGGGCGGCATTGGTGGGACAAAGAGAACTGGTAGAGGAAACAGAGAATGATGAATACGCCCAGAATAAGCTCAGAGGTCTTAGGGGTGATGGAGAGGAACCAGGGGTTTTGAGGAAAGAAATGGAGCTTTGTATTACAAAGGGGCACTGTATATCCCTGAAGGAGAGTGGGTACTCAAGCAGTTGCACGACAGCCCTACGGCGGGGCATTTTGGACAACACAAAACCATGTGGTTGGTCACCAGGGAATTTTGGTGGCCTAAGGTGAGGGAAGATGTACGTGAGTATGTAAGAGGGTGCGAGCAATGCCAGCGAGCCAAAGGTGAAATGCGGGCGCAGGCCGGGCTATTAGAACCCTTACCAACCCCAGAACGACCTTGGGAGGCAGTGTCGATAGATTTTATGACTGATCTGCCGAAGTCCAAAGGGAAAACAGCCATCATGGTGGTGGTAGACCTACTAACAAAGATGTGCCACTTTGTAGCTTGCTCGCATGCAGTCACGGCGGAAGAGACAGCGAAGTTATTTGTAGAAAACATTTTAGGGTTGCACGGGGTGCCATTGAGGTGGTCTCAGACCGAGGAAAACAATTTACTTCCAGGTTCTGGAGGAAGCTCATGAGCTTACTGCAGGTGGAGGTCAATTTTTCGACTGCCCGGCACCCTGAAACCAACGGGCAGGCGGAAAGAGCAAACGGTGTCCTCCAGCAATACCTGAGGTGTTATGTCAATGACAGAGAGAATGACTGGGTAGAAAAGTTGGCGCTGGCGGAATTTGCCTACAACAATGCCGAGAATGTGTCCACAGGGATGAGCCCCTTCTTGGCTAATTATGGGTGTCATCCCAGGGCTTTCCCAGGGGGAGAAGGGGAGAGATGGAGCGTCCCGGCAGCCGAGCATTTTGTGGAAGAAATGGAAGCAATCCATCGTCAGCTCCAACTCAACTTAGAAAGGGCGAAGGAAGAATACAAGAGGCAGGCAGACAAGAACCGAAGGGAAGGTGAAACCATAAGGGTGGGAGATAGGGTGTGGCTGTCAACCCAAGGGTTGCCGTTCAAAGGAGGTTGTAAGAAATTAAGACCCAGGAGGTTGGGTCCCTTTGAGGTCATTCAACAGGTCAACCCAGTGGCTTTCAGGCTCCGGTTACCCAACCACATGAAACTGCACCCAGTATTTCACAGGTCGTTACTGTCACCGTACGAAGGGGGACGAGAAGGGCTGGCCCTCGGGGACCGGTCGTAGAAGAAAGAGAATGCAGCAGCCATGTGGCAGAAATCCTCGACGCCAGGTGGAAGGGGGATCAGGTGGAGTATTTGGTAGCGTGGGAAGGAGAACCGGAGTCAGAAAACACTTGGGTAATGGCTGAAGATATCAATGACGAGGTATTGATAGAAACGTTCCATCAAGGTTCCCAAGGAAACCTCAGCCTGTGGAGAGGTTCCGGAGGGAATACTTTGGGACCACTGAGGCAGGGGAGGAGTTGGCAGGATTCCCGGACTCGGAGGGGGAGGGGAGATGGACTCTGAGGAGGAGGTGTACTTCGAGACCAGGAACCGCAACAGGTTGAGAGAAGTGTTCGAGACATCGGAAGATGAAGGAAGTTCATTCCGGGGTTTTGCCTCCTCACCGCCCGTAGAGGAGGGGGCGAGAGGGGTGAAGGGGGCCCTGGAGGGAGGTGGATGTCAGGGAACTGCCATCGGACGGAAGGGAGGTGAAAGGGCTCACACAGGTTGGGAGAGACGCAGCAGCTGAAGAGGGAACCAACAGGGAGGTGAAAGGGCTCACACAGGTTGGGAGAGACGCAGCAGCTGAAGAGGGAACCAGCAGGGGGGAGAGGAGCTGAGCTGGAGGGATGGCTCAGAGACACTTCCAGCGAAAACAGTGGGGAAGTTTCAGGACCTCCTGTAAGAACACCCACTCCTCGTCGGAAACTGTCACGCAGAGATTCCAGAAGACGTGTTTCCGTTAAGGAGCTTTTATGTTGGAAGCGATTACGAAAGCAACCACTGTCGGAATCTGCTAGTGACTAGAGTAGCCATGTCTGAGGGGCTCCGTCACAGACAGAGGTTTGTGGACTTGAACAAACTCTGAGGGGATACGATTTTACGCACAAGCAGCTCATCATCCCATCACAGTGCCCCATGATATTCTTGTAAAGAAGCTGGTAAAATGCGGTCTTGACTATGCTACCACTCAGTGGATTTGTAACTGGCTGACTGACCGAACCCAAAGGGTGCTCATCAATGGTTCCTCTTCATCCTGAAGAAGAGTGACTAGTGGGGTGCCACAGGGTTCTGTCTTGGGCCCGGTCTTATTCAACATCTTTATCAACGACTTGGATGATGGACTCAAGGGCATCCTGATCAAATTTGCAGATGACACCAAACTGGGAGGGGGTGGCTAACACCCCAGAGGACAGGATCACACTTCAAAACGACCTTGACAGATTAGAGAACTGGGCCAAAACAAACAAGATGAATTTTAACAGGGAGAAATGTAAAGTATTGCACTTGGGCAAAAAAAATGAGAGACACAAATACAAGATGGGGGACACCTGGCTTGAGAGCAGTACATGTGAAAGGATCTAGGAGTCTTAGTTGACCACAAACTTGACATGAGCCAACACGTGTGACGCGGCAGCTAAAAAGCCAATGCAATTCTGGGCTGCATCAATAGGAGTATAGCATCTAGATCAAGGGAAGTATAGTGCCACTGTATTCTGCTCTGGTCAGACCTCACCTGGAGTACTGTGTCCAGTTCTGGGCACCACAGTTCAAGAAGGACACTGACAAACTGGAACGTGTCCAGAGGAGGGCAACCAAAATGGTCAAAGGCCTGGAAACGATGCCTTATGAGGAACGGCTAAGGGAGCTGGGCATGTTTAGCCTGGAGAAAGAGGGTCGTCTGTTTGTCTCTAAGGTCTATCATAGATAGCGTTAGCTTATGTTCTGCAATCTCTTTCTGTATATCTGGTACTTTCTCAGTTTCCAGCTGCCCCAGTTTAAACTCAACAGCAGCAGTTTTTTCCTGTATTGACTTTGAATCTTGCAACAATTTCTGGATAGACTCCGTGTTGCTATTTACTTTTTTCTCCAAGTTGCCTAATGTTTCTGTATTTAGGTCAATTTTCCTGTTTGCAACATCCACTTTCTGGCCAGTCTCTTCCACCCTCCTGTTCGTCTCTTCCACTTTTGTAGAAAGCTGCTGTATTGAATCATTAATCTTAGAGAGAGCACTAACTAAAAATTCCTCAGACATTCCACCAATCTTAGATTGTGTTGCCGGTGTCGGCAGACCAGCAGATGATTGCCTTCTATGTGTCCAAGGTTTCCTGATCTCAAGGTTGACTGGTCTTTAAACCCATCAGCCATAACAAAGTGAAGGTCAGGTTACTTTCCCACGTCCACTCTTCCTGTTTATACTTGGGAAATTCCTTTCCTTTCTAGCAGTTACAGAAAGTTCCACTAGATGGACACTGTTGCCACTTAACAAGTTACTGTCTTTAAAACGGCAAGGGAAAGATACTCAGTAAGAGGGAAAAAAAGAGTCCAAAGTAAAAGTTACAATATAACTTTTCAGTCCTTTCCAATCTTTCTCAGTGAAACTGGCCACTCTGTATCTCCTTTACAGCCAGCAGACTGCTTTAGCGATTTTGACAGCTATGACAGCTGGGTGACAGATCACTCCTTTAATCTTTCAATCTAAAAAATCCTATAAAATCAAGAGTCTTTCCCTTAATCCTCTTAAGGGTAGATCCCTCCAAAGTCTCAGGTTAGAAGATTACATTTATTTCAATTCAATTCTTCACGTTTAGCTTCAAATCTCTTTGCTTTGTTCTTTACACAACGCAGTGAAGCCGACTTCCTGTTTAAGCTTCCACCGCAGTAGCCAATTCAGTCATTTTTAAAGTCTTTAAACTTTTCCACTTTTGCCCAAGTTCAAAATTAGTCCAAATTCTAGTCTTTTTATCCAATTCCTCTACTCACGGTTAGTTTTTAAGTCCGAATTTCTCAGGAATAAGTCAGCGCTCTCCAGCAACGGCAACGCGGCTTCACTCAGCGGGAGCAGCGATCCGCTCGCAGCACCGCGCTTCTCTCCCCGCTCCCTTACGAAGCCCCAAAAGGCTTCTTTTCAGGTGGGGGCGCTTCAAGGTGCCCGCCGAGCCTCCACGTTCGTAGGCGTCCGCGCCTGCGATTTCTGAGGGTCCCCGCTTCGCCGGAGCGCACAGGACCCGATCTCCCGCCGAGCTACCCCCTCCGAATCTTCAAAGGAGGTCAGCCATTGCTGCTGGCACCAACCGGAAGTCCTTTGGGTGTATATTTTTGATTTTAATCATGTTTCCATATTTATTGCATTTCACCTTTGGCTAGAATGCATCCACAAATGATTCCTGCATGCCTGCATTTTGTGACTCTCATGCCTCCCTCCTACGCTGCATTTAATTTTATTTGTTTGCTTGTTTGTTTATATGCTGCCCATCTGACTGGGTTAGTCTAGCCACTCTGGGCGGCTTCCAACAAATTAAAACACAGCCAGACATCAAATATTTAAAACTTCCCTATGCAGGGCTGCCTTCAGATGTCTTCAGACGGAAGTATAATGATGTATCTCTCTGACATCTGATAGGAGGGTGTTCCACGGGGTGGGCCCCCACCACCAAGGCGGCCCTCCGCCTTGGAACACCCCAAGGAAGTTGAGCCCAGTGTGGAGTCCTGTATCTTTATATCGCATGACCTGTAACCTTACATACATCAAGAAACGTTTGATGTTTATGACTCTTTGTGTGCCGTGCTTGAACCCCTGCATAAGCTTTGTTACGAATTTGGACTAGAAGGCTCCAGAGCATATGGGATTTCCATGGGAGTCTTCAGCTTCTAAGTGCTTTTGCTTTTCTCCTTCCAGGACTGTTATCAAGAGACCATCTACATCTGGCTCAACATGCTCACCAGCTTGCTGTCGGAGGCCCCCTCTCTGGAGACGCTGCAGGAGATATTAGTGGTAAGGGAGCCCCCAAGGTGTCAGAGCAGGGGGAACCAGCAGCTCCCATGCCGGAGGACAGACCCTCTTGAAATGATTGCACGGGGGGCATCTGTGGCCAACTCGCTGGTTGTGGGTGCTGATGGTCAAGTGGGCCTCTGTTCTGCTAGCAATGCTTGTGCAAGGCACACAAGATATGTCCTCTGCTGATGGCGTATGGGGAAGGGCCGTGGCTCGGGGCAGAGCATCTGTCTTGCATGCCCAAGGTCCCCGGTTCAGTCCTCAGCATCTCCAGGTGGGGCTGGGAAAAGGCTCTCTGTCTGAAAGCCCAAAGGGCCAACTGCCAGTCCTCAGTACCTGTGGATCAATGGCTGGGCTTGGTCTAAGGATGCTTCCTGCATTCCATTGCTATGGCTGTGGTGAGGTGTATGTTGTATTGTTGTAATTATCACACACACAAACACACAAATGACAGATTGCAGGGCGGTTCACAACATAAAAATACAAAATCAGAACAGAAAATGCATAATAAAACAAAAGCAACCCAAGAGCCAATTAATATCTAATTCTACTAATGCTTTTTTTTTTAATGGCTTCTTTTTTCTGTGTCTTTAGTTGTTCTTGTTTTGTTTGTAAGCTGCCTCGAGTCCCTGTCTGGGAAAGAGGTGGGGTATTAATAATAATAATAATAATAATAATAATAGTAATAATAATAATAAACAAATTGCAGCAAACTTTCTCCTTTACAAAACAACCCCTTTTTGCAATTTGTCCCCTCTATGAAGCTTTGTGAATTTGCAAACCTGGATTAAGGGTTGTCCTTCCATGTGATGACGATGATTTCTCTCTTACAGCACACAAATGGCTGGATTGACTCCACAAAAATCAGTGAGAGGCAAAGAGCAGTCAAGACCACCAACGTACTCATGAAATATGTCTCCGAGCATTTGGACTTTGATGTGAGTGACCAAGGCTTAATGCTGCAATTTCAAATCGTATTGCATTGGAAAGTTCAGGTGTGAACTAGATGAAAGCTGTATGGCATGGCCATCCCAAGGGAAGGTGCCAGCCAGTGCTATTTTTCTAGAAAAAGAGGTGCCAGGACTCACCATGAACTCACCTCCCTCATTCTCTTATAATGGCAATAGCGCCCACCTGAGAGGTGCCAGTGTTAGCTATTTGCAGTATAGTAGCACTGCAGAGAGCTTGCTGGGGAGACCATGCGTTAAAAAGGGACTCAAAAATAACTAAACAAGGTTTTAATAACAAAAACAAAAACTCCTTATACACTAAATACACCAACAACAAACCAGGCCCAACCACCAACCCATCCCCCAGGGTAACGGAAGAGCTAGGTGCTGCTCCTTATATACTACACCCAAATGCTGACACAGCTTAATCAATACAACTCAGCACCTGCTGTGTTTCACAGCTGTAAAGCTGGGTCTCGTTATTTTGCTCTGGCCCCTTAAAGACATACACATCGGGTGGAACAATGATGAACCTTTACATTTAAAGAAACCATTCAACATTTCCCCTGCGGTTCATCATTGTGGAACAAAATCATAAAGCATATTTTGTACATGTCTTTCATGAGTAACCTTTGGAAGCGCTTTAGTAAAAATGTCTGCAATTTGATTGTCACCTGGAACATATTGAAATACAATCATTTCGTCAGCAATTAGTTTCTTTACAAACTGTAAACGTAATGTCAGGGCTGCCTCAGGTCTCAGCTCACAAAAGACCAACGCCAAGTTCTTCTTATATACAAAAGTGTTTATTGGAGTTCGTTGTTTGCTTCACATCCGAGGCGCGCAGCCCCACGTCTGTTACGCTTAGACCGTTGAAGTCTCCTCTGAGTCAGTCCCTCCCCTGCACCAGTTTAAGAGGCTTGCGCTGCTCCACCTCTTCCTCTCTTTCCTTTTCCGCAGGGTCTTCCTGCCCGCTGGGGTTTCGCCCCTCCTGGATTCCCCTGACGCGGATCCCCAGATTGCTCTTCCCCCCTCCTGCGGGCTTTGGGACCTGGCTCCTCCTCCGGGCTCCCTCTACTTCCGCGCGCCTCCACATTTGAACTTGGCGCGCGCGCCCAACCTCTAACCTTCCTTTTGACAGTTACACTACTCCCTTCACTACTCCCCTCCCTTTCCGGGAGGGTGGCTTGCTCCGACCTCCCTCCCTTCTCTGCTGGCAGAGCTGCTTCCCCTGATACACTGGAACCTCCACCCCCTTCGCTGCACTCTGGCGGGGAGGCTGGTCCTGACGCCCAGCTGCCACTTTGGGATCCCCCGCTGGCCCCCTGCTCCTGACACGTCCCCCCTGGGGCTCCCCTGGCCTTGACCACCGGCGCCCCCTTCTGGGAATCCTCTGATTCGCTGGAAAGACTCATGGAATCTCTTGAGTCATTGTCATCCTCTTCCTCGCTGTCCTGGGATTCATCCCCATCGCTCTCCATCTCCTGCCTACCCTGTGCCTCTGTCCCTGAACCCCTGACACGTAACCTTAAGACTCTAGTGCGCTGTGCATTGGTCTCTGAACACAGGATAGCTAGTCCGCTCTGGGAATCAAGGTAAACTCTTACTGGTAGTGTTACTTTCATCTGTAGGTCTGCAAATACTTGCAGATACCATTCCACATCACGAGTGGCCTGAACGCATGCACATAATTCACTCTCTGTTGTGGAGAGACAAATAATGGTTTGTGTCTGGGACTTCCATTCAAATGGACAACCGTTATAACAAAACACCATACCAGACACATCCCTGCAATTATTTTGTTCCACTGCATGAGATGCATCGCAGAAAATTTCAAAACCTTTGTCAATACATGATGTAAACTGCAACCTATAATGTTTGGTATGTTTAAGGTACACTACCACTCTCTTAAGAGCAGAGAAACATTGCGTAGTGGGCTTTTCCACAAATTTTGCCAGAAAGTGAAAGGCATAAGTTATATCTGGTCTTGAGATTCTTTGAATGAAATTTAGCTTGCCTATAGCAGAACGATACAAAGTTTTGTTAGGAAATGGCTTATCTTCACCTGTAAAGGTGAAACCACACACCATAGGCGTTTCCTTCCCATTTGCATTTTCTTAAACCCATTTTGAATCAATAAGTCTCATATCTGGGGTTTGTGGTACAAGAGACCAGGTGTTATGCTCTTTTAAAGAAGCTATCTCAGAGTTGATAGCTTTATACCAATTTACAGCTTGGTGCTTAGGTAAATTCTGAACATCATTGTAGCATTTTGGCTCAAAAACCGCCTTATTGGCATACACAGTATTTAAATGTTCATCTGCAAAACGTTGTGGCTTCTGTCTCTTTCTATCTGAACGTCTCAGTCCGGAAGGAGAGTCAGACTCCTCAGACTTAATGGGACTAAGTGAACTACTAGTTTCAGGTTGTAAATCATCATTGTCAGACCAAAGAGGTGCCTGTAGGCTAAGCTCACAGTCAGAAAACTCAAGAGAATCTAAGCTCCCCTCGGGTGCCTGTGACTTTAAATCATCAAACAAATTATCAGATTCAACAGGCTTTTTGTCTTGTTCCATTAATTCAGAAGCACCATTTCCTCCTGCTGCTGCTGCTGCTGCTTCCTCTTCTTCCTCAGTGTCATTTATACCGTTAGTATCTTGGAAAACAGCAACGCCATTCCAATTTACAGTTTGTATCATGCTTCTGGTAATATGAAATTTGCCAGTTGCTGGTATGTAAATTCTGTATGCCCCCTGCTGGTAGCCCATTAATTTTCCCTGAACACTACTGTCAGGGGTTCAGGAGCAGAGGCACAGGAAAGGGAGGAAATAGAGAGCGAGGGGGAGGAGTCCGAAGGAAATGTTAGCGATGACAGCGGTCCGAGGTCTCTGAGTCTTTCCAGCGAATCGGAAGATTCACAGAAAGGGGCTCCCTTGGTCAGAGCAAGGGGGTGCCGAGGGGACACCCCAGGAAGAAGGGGCCAGAGGGGACTCAGAGAGCAGCAGTTGGAAATCAGGACCAGCGTCCACACCAGAGTGCAGTAGGGGAGGAGTCCCAGGCATCGGGATCAGGCGGCGCACTGCCAGTGGGAGGACATGAGTCAGGATTGGCCACGCCTCCATCGGGGAGCGAGGAAACGGTCGAGAGGAAGGTTGAAGGCTGGGCGCGCGCGCAAGTTCAAATGTACAGGAGGGCGGCGCAGTTGGCAGCCCGGATAGGGAGCCAGGTCCCAAAGCCCGCCGAAAGAGGGGGAGGAGTCAGGAGGGTCAGCGTCAGAAGAATCCAGGAAGGAAGGGACCCCGGGGGGTAGCAGGACCCAGAGGAGAAAGGAGAGACGTAAGAGGTGGAGTAAGGCTAGAATCTTAAACTGGTGTACAGGGGGGCGGAGACTCAGATGGAGCTTCGCCGATCTAACCCCTAGACGTAGAGCTGGGGCGCTCCGGCTTGAAAATGGAAACTGTACTTCAATAAAGACTTTTGCACATTACTGCCGGCTAGCGTTGGTCCTCTGTGAGCTGGGACCTGGAGCCAGCTCTGACAGTAAGCTCCATCTCCTAAAGTTTTGCACCAAAAACCTCGTAACGTGAGTGGACGCAGCGAGGGAAGAAGATTGGTGCTTTGCGAGCTCACAAAAGTCAGGCAAGATGACTACAGAACAGCAACTAGCAGCCCTGCAAAATGCAGTGACACAACTCAACGCGGAGGTACTCGCATCCAGGAAAAGGGAAGAGGAAGCGGCTGCCGCCTGCAGGGATCCCAAGCCAGGTTGGAAGTGCTTGCTAAGCAGGGGCAACCGGGACCCAAATCAGAGGGGATTGGGCTGGGGAAAGAGGAGGCAGCCTGGTATCTCATTTCGATGGGAATTTGCAGCAGTACCCTAACTTCCGAGCAGACGTGCTGTTTGCGCTGGAACTGCTGGATAAAGACTTTAGAGATGAGCAAGAGAAGGTGGGGTTTATCTTGTCCCATTTGCATGGGGAAGCTAAAGCGTGGCTGCGCAATCTGTGGAGAGATAAGGATCCGGCGCTCCAAAATGCGGATGCATTCATTAAAGCGATGGATTCGTGTTTTTATCAAATATAGACATTGATATCGCCAGAAAAGACATACATGGGCTCAAACAAGGCAGAGCCAGTGTAAGGCAGTACCATTCCCGCTTTTTGCATTAGTCCATGCGCTGGGATGGGAGAAGGATTCTGCCCCAGTCAGAGACCTTTTTGGGAAGGCTTGAATGCAAATGTGAAAGATGAGATTGCAAGGGGGGAGAGACCAAAGAGCACTCAGGAGGTTGTCCGGCGGGCGCTGCAAATTGGGGTGCGTCTGGAAGAACGTCCATGGAACAGAGAAGAAGGACGTTGGGGACGTACGCCAGTGAGAGCACCTCCCCTCTTTCCCAAGGATACAGCGCGTGTGCAATCCCCACCTCCGCAAGGAGGGAGAGCAACCGATGGAGATTGGAGGCGCCAGGGCTCAGTCAACAACCAGAGCCTTAACACCGGGAGCAGTCAAAGCGAAGCCTCCTAGAGGGAACAGGAAGTGCTACATCTGCGACAGTGCTCAGCACATGGCGAAAGAGTGTCCCCAGAGGCTCCACAAGCACACTGCAGCCTCAGCAACAGTAACAGAAGCAACTCAGCAGAGAGAAACACAGCAGGGAAACGACAGAGTCTGGTTGGAGGAAGAGGCACTGGGGCCCAACCAGACAAGTCAATGAAGCCGTCCCCAGAGATTTTGCAGCCCACAGACCCCCTCCCGCCCAAACCAGTGGTGCAGCTCACAGCATCGCTCCAACTACCCAATGGACTCACTATGGAAGTGCCGATTACCATTGACTCTGGTAGTAACGCAGACTTCATAGGACTGGATTTCCTTCAAGAGCACAACATAGCACTCCTGCCAGCCACGCTGCCTCTGAAAGTTGTCACGGTGGATGGCAGGGAGTGCTGGGGGCAGGTGGTGCAGCAAACGCCTCCGATGGTGATGCAAATTGGGAATCACCGAGAAGTCATCAGCTTCAATGTCACCCAACTGTCGGACACGCCTATAGTATTAGGCATGAGTTGGCTGCACAGGCACAGCCCAGCATTGGCGTGGTACCAGCGACAACTGACCTTCGGCTCCTCATACTGTGCGGAACATTGCATTCTGCCTAGCCCGGAAGGGGAAGAGGATGACCCGCAGCTACAATTAGGCACGCTGCAAGCAGTGCCACTCAAGTACGCAGCGTTTTGGAGGTTTTCTGCGAGAAGGAAGCGGACAAGCTACCTCCCACAGGTCTTATGACTGCAAGATTGACCTCCTGCCAGGGCGACGCTGCCAAACCGGAAACTGTATTCCATGTCCGAAGACGAGCTGCAGGAACTCAGGGAGTTCATAGACCTCAACTTGAAGCGCGGTTTCATCCGGGAGTCGAAGGCAGTGGGGGGGCAGTCCTGTATTCTTTGTGAAGAAGAAGGACACGCCCCAAAAAAGGCTTGTGGTGGACTATAGAATTTTGAACTCAAAAACCAAGCCCACAGCCTTTCCCATGCCCAAGATAGATGACCTGCTCGCAACGGTGAGGAAAGGACGCGTTTTCACAAAGTTGGATCTGCGAAGGGCGTACAACCTGATTCGCATGCGGGAGGGCGACGAATGGAAGACTGCCATGTTCACGCCCCTGGGCACCTATGAATACAGAGTTATGCCCTTTGGATTACAAAATGGCTCCCACTGTTTTCAAGCCTTCATGCATCACGTATTGGCGGGTCTCCTCTACAAGAAATGCGTCTGCTTCCTGGACGACATCCTGATATTTTCAGAATCAGAGGAGGCCCACGAGGGAGACGTCAAGGAAGTTCTGCAGAGACTGCAGGAGCACAGGCTGTACGCCAAGCTGGAAAAGTGCCAGTTCGACATGAAGGAAGTAGATTTCCTGGGCTACAAGTTGTCGGACAAGGGGCTCGCCATGGACAGCGCCAAGGTTCGCTCAGTGTTGGACTGGAAGAGCCCGCGCAATCGGAAGGAGGTCCAACGGTTTGTCGGTTTCGCCAACTTTTACCGCAAGTTCATCAAGGGGTTCGCGATGCAGACGGCAGCCATTACCGACACACTCAGCTCCAAGAAGAAGAAGTTCATCTGGACGGAGCAAGCGGAACAGTCCTTTCAGAAACTCAAGCGTCTCTTCTCGTCCGAAGAGCAGCTACTGCATGTGAATCCCAGCAGACCGATGAGGGTTGAAACGGACGCCTCAGACAGAGCCGTGGGAGCAGTACTGTTGCAGCAAGACCCGCATGGGGACTGGAGACCGTGTGCCTTCTACTCCAGGAAGCTCAGCAAGTCAGAGCAGAACTACACCATCTGGGACAGGGAGTTGCTGGCCATTCATGCAGCATTCAAGGCGTGGCGGCACTTCCTCATTGGAGCCAAACACACAGTGCAGGTCCGCACGGACCATAAAAACCTGGAGTACTGGCGCACGGCAAGGTTCCTGAACCAGAGGCACATACGATGGGCGGAGTTCTTTGCGGATTTCGACTTCAGGATAGAGTACATCCCAGGCGACAACAACATCATGGCGGATGCACTGTCCAGAAAGCCGCAATACCTCGAGGAGGCGGCACCAGCAGCGGCCAAGCACATTTTCGCACCGAAAGCGTGGGCGTGCGCTTCAGCAACCGTGGACCTGGATGCTGTACGTCGAGCACTGCAGGAGGACCCCTTCGCGCAAGCAAAGATGGCAGAGGTGCAAAGGGGCACGGCGGAGGACGACGAGTTCCAGATACGCGACGGATTGCTCATCCGCAGAGGGGCCCTCTACGTACCGGGAGACGACCTCCGCGCGAAAGTACTGCAGCAGTTGCACGACGCACCCACCGCCGGGCACTTTGGCAAAGAGAAGACGGTAGAATTAGTAGCCAGAGATTTTTGGTGGCCCAAGATGCGGGGGAAGTCGCGGATTACGTCTCGAGGTGCGACACCTGCCAAAGGGCCAAGTCAGTGCACAAACCGCCGGCGGGACTGCTCGAACCGCTGCAGACACCGATCGAACCGTGGGAGAGGGTGGCCCTGGACTTTGTCACGGATCTACCCAGCTCGAGGGGCAAGACGGCAGTGCTAGTGGTGGTGGACATGTTCACCAAAATGGCCCACTTCATTCCGTGCGCGAAGGTGGCCACGGCGGAACAGACCGCCAAACTGTTCATAGACCACGTGTTCAGGGTTCACGGTCTGCCACGGTCTATCCTGTCCGACCGGGGGCGACAGTTCATCTCGAACTTCTGGCAGAAGCTGATGGGTTTCCTGAACGTCAAGATCAACCTAGCGTCGGCGAGACACCCGCAGACGAACGGACAAGCGGAGCGAGTCAACGCCATCATGCAGCAGTACCTGAGATGCTACGCAAATCAGCAGCCGGCAACATGGGTGGACTACCTGCCGCTCGCTGAGTTCGCCTACAACAACACGAAGCACGTGTCCACGGGGGTGACACCGTTCTTCGCCAACAACGGGAGGCATCCCAGAACCTTCCCGGGATTAGCGAGAGAGGGGAGGGGGAGCCACAGGCAGCGGAAGCCTTAGCATCAGAGTTGCAGGAGGTTCACGAACAGCTTCGGAGGCAGTTAGAACTAGCAAAGCACGCATACAAACTGCAGGCTGACAAGCACAGAAGGGTTGGGGAAGACATACAGGTGGGAGACTGGGTTTGGTTAGCAGCCCAGGCAGTGCCGGCCAGATCGTTAGCGAAGAAGAAGCTAGGGCATAAGCAGCTAGGACCCTACCAAGTCGAGGCACAGGTCAATCCAGTGGCCTTCCGGTTGACACTGCCGGAGGGATCCAGAATGCACCCAGTTTTCCATAGATCAGTGCTCACGCCCTACAAAGCACCTCATAGATTTCAGGAGCCAGGAACGGCACCAGACCCGTTCAGGGAAACGCCCACAAGGGGGTCGCCAAGGCGGGAACCCGTCAACGAAGTCACAGAGATTTTAGACTCGAGATGGGGGGAGGAGGGAGTGGAATACCTCCTCGCCAAGGAAGGTACCCCGGCTAGCGCCAACAGTTGGGTGCCAGATTATGCTCTGGAGGAATCTTGGCTTAAGGACGAGTTCCATGCCCTTTTCCCACACAGGCCCATGCCAGCCGAGTATTTCGACGACTGGCTTTTCACACCCACATTTTCAGCTAGCACATTCCAGGGGTTCACCTCGGACGAGGAACCGGCACTAGAAACACGTTCCCCGGAGGGATCACCCTCGGGGTCTGCCTCAGACCGTTCCTATTGGTGGGACAATCAACCAGAGGAGCAGTGGCGCAGGAAGTGGTTGGGGGGTCCTTGGCAGGCAACGTCCCCGGAGGAGACCGGGGAGAGACGGACATGGACGTGTTGGGGAGGACCTTGGGTTCGAGCACGGCGGCAAAGAGATGGAAGCAGAGGAAATTGAGGTCGGCGAGAGCACGGAGGACGAGCCGGACTTATCCGGCTGGATGCACGCCACGGGGACGAACTGTATCCGGCACTCACCCCCACAACGACGGAGCACCCAGTACCCACACCTGAAGGAGGGGAGGGGGAAGGGGGGCTTCGAGGGGGATGGATGTCAGGGGTTCAGGAGCAGAGGCACAGGAAAGGGAGGAAATAGAGAGCGAGGGGGAGGAGTCCGAAGGAAATGTTAGCGATGACAGCGGTCCGAGGTCTCTGAGTCTTTCCAGCGAATCGGAAGATTCACAGAAAGGGGCTCCCTTGGTCAGAGCAAGGGGGTGCCGAGGGGACACCCCAGGAAGAAGGGGCCAGAGGGGACTCAGAGAGCAGCAGTTGGAAATCAGGACCAGCGTCCACACCAGAGTGCAGTAGGGGGGGAGGAGTCCCAGGCATCGGGATCAGGCGGCGCACTGCCAGTGGGAGGACATGAGTCAGGATTGGCCACGCCTCCATCGGGGAGCGAGGAAACGGTCGAGAGGAAGGTTGAAGGCTGGGCGCGCGCGCAAGTTCAAATGTACAGGAGGGCGGCGCAGTTGGCAGCCCGGATAGGGAGCCAGGTCCCAAAGCCCGCCGAAAAGAGGGGGAGGAGTCAGGAGGGTCAGCGTCAGAAGAATCCAGGAAGGAAGGGACCCCGGGGGGTAGCAGGACCCAGAGGAGAAAGGAGAGACGTAAGAGGTGGAGTAAGGCTAGAATCTTAAACTGGTGTACAAGGGCGGAGACTCAGATGGAGCTTCGCCGATCTAACCCCTAGACGTAGAGCTGGGGCGCTCCGGCTTGAAAATGGAAACTGTACTTCAATAAAGACTTTTGCACATTACTGCCGGCTAGCGTTGGTCCTCTGTGAGCTGGGACCTGGAGCCAGCTCTGACAACTACACTCACCCAATTTCTGCTTAGCGGGATAATGCATAATTACATCTGAATCCCAAATGCGTAGGTATTTCAGATTAGGGTGTTTTTTAAACAGCTTCTCATATACCTGAAGGAGCGTCTCCACCCCCATCGTTCTGCCCGGACGCTGAGGTCCAGCGCCGAGGGCCTTCTGGTGGTTCCCTCATTGCGAGAAGCAAAGCTACAGGGAACCAGGCAGAGGGCCTTCTCGGTAGTGGCACCCACCCTGTGGAACACCCTCCCATCAGATGTCAAAGCAATAAATAACTACCTGACATTTAGAAGGCATCTTAAGGCAGCCCTGTTCAGGGAAGCTTTTAATCTGTGATATTTTACTGTATTTTTTGTTTCTATGGAAGCCGCCCAGAGTGGCTGGGAAACCCAGCCAGATGGGCGGGGTACAAATAATAAATTATTATTATTATTATAGGGGGTTGTTAGGATATTTCCGTTCCACCTTAAACAGGGAGCAGGCTGTTGTTTGAGTCACAGTCTGCGTACTTCCGGCTCACAGGAAGTTTATGTTTTGTACATAGCTTTTATTTCTCTCTCTGTGCCTGAACACGCAGGCAAGCAGTCATGTTTTTCTTTGTTCTGACCAACGCTGAATAAAGTTGTAAATAATGCTCTCCTGAGTGCATCTTTCATTGTGCGAACTCTGCAAAGGTAGTGCACAAGTCCTTGAATGTGGAAAGCTGTTTCTGAGGCTTGTGTCGCTAATTGACTGATACTGCGTTCCTACGGGAGGTTGATGGATCGTCCGGAGTCAACGTGGGGGCATGATGGCCTTTGTCTCCCTGGCAGTATCCCAACAGGGGTGACATCTAAACCAGAATGATAACTGCGATTTCTAACGTAACAAAAGGCATTGAGCGCTTCAGCCCAAAAGACTTTGGGCAGATTAGCATTGTGCAGATAAGTTTTAACCCCTTCCTGCAGGTCACGCTGCACAACTTCAACAAGCCCATTTTGCCAGGGACTTGGGGGGCAAGATAACTCATGAGTAGTCCCCTGCGCTTCCAGGAAATTCTCAAAATCCTCAGAAACAAATTCCCCACCCCAGTCAGTAAACAGGTTCTTAATTGGTTTGTTAAAATGCGTTTTTACCCAGTTGCAAAAAGCTCTGTACTTCTCAAATGCTTGGGACTTCTCAGCTATTGCATAAGTCCAACAATATCTACTATACTGGTCTATCAGGGTAAGCCAGTACTTAGAACCTCCTAATGATGGTGGGAGTGGCCCAACTAAATCACAATGTACACGCTCAAATGGCTCAGTTACTTTCCTATCTGAGCACCTACCCTTGAGTGCAACCTTAATGTTATTCTTGCAACAGGATAGACATTGCATAAAGAATTTACATGGTTTTAAGTTTAGGCCATTAATAATATTCTTTGTCTTAATTACATCAGCAAAATTCAGATGTCCCAGAATTCTGTGTGCTTCATGGGCACACCCGGAATGTGGCCTTACATTCCTCAACCCCTGGCTTGACTGTGCTGCTCTGCAATTTATAGGCGATTGGGAGTAGGTGCGAAAATACAGTCTATATAAACCATCAGAGTCCTGGGCATACAATAGACGTTTGTTCCCATCGAAAAACTCACACATTGACTTTAAGAAACGCACAGTTATGCCTTGACAAGCAAAACATCTTACTGACAATAAATTGTCCACTGACGGGCAGTAAATGCAGTTCGCTATCGTAATGTTTAAAGAGTCAAGTTTAATAGTATCCCTGCCAAGCGACTGCAAGACTTGTGAATTGGCTAAATGTACATTACCAATTTCCTCTTTAAAAGAAATAAACAAGCTTCGATCGTTGCAAATGTGCTGAGATGCTCCTGAGTCCACAATAAAAGACTTCCACTTGGCACCTTTAATTCTTTTACGATCTGTAGTCCGAGCATGAAAAGCTCGTGGCTCGTTTCTGTCTTTATGGTACGATGTCGGCTGCTGGGCTGACGACCGTGACTGATGAACAGAAACAGACTTGGGAGTACTTTGCTTTCTTTTGGATCTGCAGTCCTTTGCAAAATGTCCCTGCTTATTGCAGAACCAATAACGCTTTGCAGCTTTAAATGCAGTCGTATCACCACAAGTTTGCATATGGCGTTCCTCGTTGTTTCTGGAAATAGGAGTGCTTATGGCACAAGCCTCCCTTCTATCCAACTCGCCCATTAATCTTGCCGTTACCCCTTCCACAGTTAATTGTGCTGGTGGAACGGCAGATATCTGGCTAGCTACACCATCAAAGTCCTCATTAAGGGAACAAAGAATGATAAAAACATACTGAATATCAGGTATCTCCATGTCCCTTTGAATTAATTTGCAGCGTATTGCCTCCAGACGTCTCAAGTGTGCTGCCAAATCACCACCAGGCTGCAACTTGGTCTGGTACAGCTGCTTGAAAAACGTCAATGCAGACGCTGACTCTTTTCTAATATGCACTGCTGCAAGACTGTCCCACATTTCTTTGGCAGTTTTCTTATTTCTTATATAGACTACTTGCTGGTCGCTGACTGCCAAATTAATTATTGCCCTGGCTTTTGCATCTCCTTTCGACCAAGCATTAGTTACAGGGTCAGGAGAGTCATCAGTTACATAGGTGCGTACTTCTCTAGAGGTCAAAAGCGCCTCCACCCGAAAAGACCATAAACTATAGTTCTCATCTGTTAGCTGTGGGAACACCAGAGCCTTCTCGGCTTCTGGAACCCGGTCAACCATTCTGGAACTCTTCCAGACCCACAGAAACTACACTAACAGGAGAAGGAGTTTTCAAACCTTTCTCAGAGTCAAAAAATATGCAGTCATCCACTCAGCAGCTGGGCCCATAACCAAAGATGTTACCTATTTGCAGTATAGTAGCACTGCAGAGAGCTTGCTGGGGAGACCATGCATTAAAAAGGGACTCAAAAAGTACTTAAACAAGGTTTTAATAACAAAAACAAAAACTCCTTATACACTAAATACATCAACAACAAACCAGACCCAACCACCAACCCATCCCCCAGGGTAATGGGAGAGCTAGGTGCTGCTCCTTATATACTACACCCAAATGCTGACACAGCCATTCAACATTCAACCATTCAACAGCCAGAACTGAGTTCCAGTGAGTTCTGGCTGGGGAAAAAGCCCTGGGGCAAGCCTAGGGTGGGCCACCTAAGCACAGCTCTCTTGCCCTGCGCCCCTCTGCCACCTTTGCCGACTGAAAGCATGCCAGACGGTTTTCTCTTGCTGGGCTCTGTGGGACGAGGGCTGACTGTGCATCTCTCTCTCTCCACCTCCTAGGTATCCCAGGATTTCCCCCTTCTTGGGCAGCTGGTGGCGCTCTTGTCCATTCACCTCACAGACAACGTGAAGGAGATTGGCCTGCAGTCAGCGGAGGCCTTGTACCATCTCCATTACATCATGATAGCCAAAATGGGTGAGGGCGATGCTGGGAAATGGCTTGTTTCTTGTAAGCTGCAGGGTGGGAGATCTGTAGCCCTCCAGAGGCTGCTCCAACTCCCATCATCCCTGAGTGTTGCCCATGCTGGCTGCTGCTGGGGTTGATCAGGGAGTTCAGGAGGGCCAGAATTCGTGCCAGCACTGGCCTAACGCCAACACCCTGTTGGCCAGAGACGAGAGGGCAGTCTTGGGGGAGGGATTCACTGCTGAAGAACATCAGAAAAGCCTTCTGGACCTGACCAGTGGCCCAGCCCAGTCCAGCATCCTGTTCCCACAAGGGTTGACCAGATGCCTGTGGGAATCCAGCAAGCAGAATTCAAGCTCTTTCTACTCCTGTACTTTGCTGCCTCTGACCATGGAGGCAGAGCATAGCCATCCTGGCTAATAGCCATGGGTAGCCTTCTCTTCCATGAATTTGCCTCATCTTCTTTGAAAGACATCTTGGTCCGTGGCCATCAGTGCCTCCTGTGGCAGGGAGTTCCAGAGTTTAGCTGTGCACTGCAAGAAGAAGGACCATCCTGAAACTTCAGTTTCATTGGAGGTCCAGTTGTTCTCATGTTCTGACGGTGAGAGAGAAAGCTTTCTCTCTCCACTTTCTCCATGCCATACATTGTGTCTCCTCTTCCTCGCCGTTTTTCTAAACGGACCCCCCCCCCAAATGCTGCAACCAGCTCCACAAGCACCCCAGTCCTTTTGGTTGCCCCCTTCTGAACCTTTTTCCCAGTTCTGAATTATAATTTTTGAGGTGAAATTGATAATTGTTTTTGTTGGTCCCAGTGGGAAAACTGGAGGTTTTGAGCAGGGAGCACTAATGCTGGGTTCTTTTGCATGCATATTCCAAAACCCGACCCTGCTTAGGTAAGGAACTGGAGAAGAGGAGGAATAAAAATAAGAAAGGCAACATGGTCAGATGGGTCCGAGAAGACTTCTTCATCCCTGGGCCCTCCCTCTTCCACTACAACATCGCAAAAGTGGCCAAGGTAGGGGTGGCTTTTTGTACTCTTTATTGCTAAGACCGCAGCCACTCCCAGTTAGCAAAGATTTGCTCATTCGGGCCAATGGGGCCCTGCCCCACCAACTTCAGCCTGCCCTCAGGCAGCCCACGCCTTCTAGGGATGAGGGAGAGATTCAGAGCAGTTCACACTGGAAGCCAAAGCTATCAAATCGAGGCTTTCAGAAACAATAGGAGAACTGAAACACAACCCGCCTTTGAAATTCACATGTCTTTGAATTTCGCAATGCCAAACAGTGTGTAAAAATACATGCGTGAGCTATTAGTGTAAACAACATTCAGAAATGCATTGTATTAGAATAAATTGCTCCAAGACAAGTGCCCGGTAGCCTAAACTGCATGCAGAATTCTACTTATTGAAATTCTACCAGGTGCTGGGAGACCTAGGGTTCAGATCCCCACTCAGCCCTGAAACTCACGAGTCAGTCACAGTCTCTCAGTCTAACCTATCTCATGAGACTAAAACGGGGAGGAGAGAGAACCATGCATTGCCACCTTGGGCTCCTCAGGGTGGAAAAAGAATAGGAAAAGTTGACTCATTCGGTGCATCTTTCACAAGGCACTGCCAAGCCAATGAACTATGCCAACCTTGTGGTGGGTGTTTTTGTTGTATATTAAGAACTAAACCCACAGCCGGCAGGTTCCCACCCAGTCTGTTTGGCATTGGTTATATAATAGATAGCCACTATTATTCACCCTCTCTGTTCCTGCGAGAATTTTTTTTTAAATTTTCTAGTCTGATTTTAGATTGAACCTCTTCATGTTCCAATGTCATAACCAATTTAAGATGTGGATCGAAAATAGCAAGGCGTCACCTGACTTTTAGTTTTGTTTGTTGTAAAATATTTCAGCTACTTAAATAAACACATAAATAGAATCACCGAATTGTAGAGTTGGAAGGGACGCGGGGGTCACTTAGTTCAACCCTCTCAAGGCAGAGTGGAGATGTCTTTCACTTGGTTTGTGAAGGCACGCTTGGACTACTGAAACGTGGTCAGAGTGTGGAGCAGAAGAAAACTCCCTCTTCTTTCTTCTTTGTGCCAGGCTTTTGGGGAGCACCTCACGCCCAGCCAGATCAACGAAGTCGTGCTGAAGGCGATTGACAACCTGACAGTGGAAGACAGAGCCGTCTCTCAGGCTGCAGGAAAGCTCCTAAGGTCCTTCCTTGAGGAATGCGGCATGGATATGGAAGACGTAAGGCTCAAAACGGAGGCAGGGGGAGCAGGTTTCCTCTAAATTAAACATTCTCTTCGGACTTAGAATTAGGTTCTTTCTGGGAAGTAAGAAGGCATTGTGTGGGAAGTAAGAAGAGCCAGTGTGGTGTAGTGGTTAAGAGCGGTAGTCTCGTAATCTGGTGAACCGGGTTCGCTTCCCGCTCCTCCACATGCAGCTGCTGGGTGACCTTGGGCCAGTCACACTTCTGTGAAGTCTCTCGGCCCCACTCACCTCACAGAGTGTTTGTTGTGGAGGAGGAAGGGAAAGGAGAATGTTAGCCGCTTTGAGACTCCTTCGGGTAGTGATAAAGCGGGATATCAAATCCAAACTCTTCTTCTTCTTCTTCAATTTCCGTGTCTGTGGCTCGAGCCTCTGTTTCCATCCTGCTGCAGTTCGGCTTCCAAAATCAACCACCCTGTTTTTCATCTCCCTGTCTGCTTTGGCAGTATTTTAATTACATTATTCCACCCTGTTCATTTCAGTGCAAAGGAAACACAATATGGGCAACACTGAGGTCAATTAATAAAACTTTGCTATGATCAAAATGATCACCCTCCCAAAACTAACCTACTTATTCCAAACCCTCCCAATCTTGATTCCCCCAACACTACTCCGCAGATGGCAGAGAAAACTACACTCTTTTATCTTCTCACATAAAAAACCAAAAATAAGCCCCAAATACCTGCACCTCCCCACCTCAGAAGGAGGATGGGGAATCCCCAACATGGAAGCATATTACATTGCCAGCCAAATACTCCATATAATCCCATATATACTAGAAGATGAGACAAAACAATGGGTACACCTAGAGAGGGACATAATTGAAAATACCAACCCCATCCCCACTAATCCCCCTGCCCTACCACCCATTATTCCACCATGCAGCACAAAACCTCCAGATAAAAACCTGGCAAACCAAAGGCTTATATCGCCCAATAGACTTCTGTAAAAATAACAAACCTTTGTCAACACAAGAAATACAAGACAAACTAGAAGACACCCAAATGCCCTGGTTAACACAACACCAATTACATGCCCTCTTAAACAATCCAACAATAAAATCAGCAGCAACTAGGCCCCTGATAACCTTTGAAAACCTCCTCCTAACAACAAAGGGAAACAGTAAAGGGATGGTATCCGCAATATACAAAATACTACTCCAAAATCCCACAAACCCCCTAGACGCAATCAAAAAACAATGGGAGAATGACATAGGCTATGAGATTAACCCCACTCAATGGATCAGAATGTGATCTAAACCCCCCTTTAAATCCATATCAATGAAAAGAACTCACTCTGAAACCCACCTACAGGTGGTACCTAAGACCAAGAAAACTAGCGCTAATATGCCCAGGAACCTCACCAAAATGCTGGAGAGGGTGCACCTCCACAGGCACATACCTCCACATGTGGTGGGAGTGCCCCAAAATCCAACTATTCTGGACAACAGCCATACGAGAAATATGTAAAATAACTAAGCAAGTATTAGACATCACCCCAGAATTGGCCCTACTAAACATCTTCCAAGACAACAATGCCCACTTACACCACAAAGAACTCATAACCCACCTACTTTCAGCAGCCAGAAACACCATAACCAGACACTGGAGAGACTTGTCAGGAGTAAGCCTGGACCAATGGTACCAAATAGTATGGGAAACAGCCCTACTAGAAAAATTAACCAGTAAACTGAAACTGACACGGGGACAAACAGAAGAAGACGCCTTCACCCCGGTATGGCTCCCCTTTATCACGTACACAGCCCAACAAGACAATGACAATAATCCACCAACAGCATACAAATCAATATGGCTAACCTGATCCAAAACACCCACCCACCCCACTCTCACACGAAAACAAAGATCACCACAGCCAATCACAAACAAACAACCACACCCTAGGCCAACCCCAACCTCTCTCACCACCAAAGGAACACAAGTGGAGAAACAATTTACATATTTTCTGAATCGAACCAGTCAATGTCAAGAATAGATCAAATATGGGTTTCGAATGAACTGACTCCAAGAATACTACAAGTTGAAATACAATCTAAAGTAATCTCAGATCATAATCCAATAAAATTGGAACTAAAAGGCTTTGAAGAAAGAACATTTAGATGGAAAATTAAGGGTTATCTTTTGGACGACCAGTAAATTGTAGGAAAAGCACAAAAGAAACTAGCTGAATACTTTGTTGATAATTGCAACAAGGGTACAAAGATGAGCGTAGTATGGGACGCAAGCAAGGCTGTGATGCGAGGTTTTTTTATCCAGCAGAATTCATTGAAGAATAAAAACAGAGAAAAGGGGGAAAAGGAAATTTTAAAGCAGATAATGGACAATGAACAAAAATTTATTAGAAAACCAAATAACTCCAAAATAAAACAAGAAATTAAGACCTTGCAATCACAATTTGCAATGATAATAAACAAAGAAGTGGAATGGAATATTAAAAAGTTAAGACAGAGAAACTTTGAATTCGCTAACAAATCAGGCAAATGGCTTGCGTGGCAAATCAAAAAAAGAAAGGAGCAGAACACAATTAACAGAATCATTGTGAATGGCGAAGAGATAGATAATCCGAAAGAAATTAGAAAAGGATTCTTGGACTTTTACAGACAACTATATAAAAATAAAGAAAGGAATAATATGAGGAAAATTGAGAGATTTTTAAAAGGGAAAAGGTGCAAAAGATCCCGGCAGATAAAAAAGACCAACTGAATGCCCTAATCGAAACAGATGAGATAAAAGAGATTATAAAGGAATTGAAGAGGGGAAAGGCCCCAGGACCAGATGGATTTACATCAGGTTATTATAAAGAGTTAAAAGATGTTCTGATGATACCTTTATTTTATTTTTATTTTTTTAATAATTTTTTATTAAGGTTTTAAACAAACGAAAAAGAAAAACAACACACACAAAAAACAATACAAAACTTAACAATATAAACACAAAACAATTAATAACAAACTCTCTTTTCCATTTCCAATTTTAAGTTACTTATTTTCTGGACTTCCTCATACCTCCCTCTTTTGTATTCCAATCCACATTATTTATCCAGCAGTTTCTTTTCCACTTTTATAATCCCAATCTTTAATTTAATAAAATGTTAAAATATATAACTTCAACTTTTTAAACCTAATCCTTGATCTTAATATCCTGTAACTTTAAAGTTTTCCCTTTAAAATCAAATTTCCATTTCTTTAAACTTCTTTAATCTTAATCTTTAATCTTAATCTATCCTTAACTTTAACCTGTGCAGCTGGAAACCACTTATTTTCAGTCCAACATCACTCTAACATTCCTTAATTTTGCAGTGTTTCTGAAGATAGTCTTGAATTTCTTCCAGTCTTCCTCCATCGACTCTTCTCCCTGGTCACGGATTCTACCAGTCATTTCCGCCAATTCCATATAGTCCATAAGTTTCATCTGCCATTCCTCCAGCGTGGGAAGTTCTTGTGTCTTCCAATACTTTGCGATGAGTATTCTTGCTGCTGTTGTTGCTTTCTGATGATACCTTTAAAAGAAGTTATTGTCAGAGCTGGCTCCAGGTCCCAGCTCACAGAGGACCAACGCTAGCCGGCAGTAATGTACAAAAGTCTTTATTGAAGTACAGTTTCCATTTTCAAGCCGGAGCGCCCCAGCTCTACGTCTAGGGGTTAGATCGGCGAAGCTCCATCTGAGTCTCCGCCCCCTGTACACCAGTTTAAGATTCTAGCCTTACTCCACCTCTTACGTCTCTCCTTTCTCCTCTGGGTCCTGCTACCCCCCGGGGTCCCTTCCTTCCTGGATTCTTCTGACGCTAAGATTCTAGCCTTACTCCACCTCTTACGTCTCTCCTTTCTCCTCTGGGTCCTGCTACCCCCCGGGGTCCCTTCCTTCCTGGATTCTTCTGATGCTGACCCTCCTGACTCCCCCCTCTTTTCGGCGGGCTTTGGGACCTGGCTCCCTATCCGGGCTGCCAACTGCGCCGCCCTCCTGTACATTTGAACTTGGCGCGCGCGCCCAGCCTTCAACCTTCCTCTCGACCGTTTCCTCGCTCCCCGATGGAGGCGTGTCCAATCCTGACTCATGTCCTCCCACTGGCAGTGCGCCGCCTGATCCCGATGCCTGGGACTCCTCCCCCCTACTGCACTCTGGTGTGGACGCTGGTCCTGATTTCCAACTGCTGCTCTCTGAGTCCCCTCTGGCCCCTTCTTCCTGGGGTGTCCCCTCGGCACCCCCTTGCTCTGACCAAGGAGCCCCTTTCTGTGAATCTTCCGATTCGCTGGAAAGACTCAGAGACCTCGGACCGCTGTCATCGCTAACATTTCCTTCGGACTCCTCCCCCTCGCTCTCTATTTCCTCCCTTTCCTGTGCCTCTGCTCCTGAACCCCTGACAGTTATGAATAATATTTTAAAGGAAAGAGACATCCCGGAAACGTGGAAAGAAGCATTCATTACACTTATCCCAAAACAGGACTCGGATTTAACCCAAGTTAAAAACTATAGGCCTATTTCATTGTTGAATACAGACTACAAAATTTTTGCAGGGATCTTAGCAAGAAGAATGAAAAAGATATTATTAGAAACTATTCATAAGGATCAAACAGGTTTTCCTTCCAGGTAGACAGATGAAGGATAATGTAAGGAACATAATTAATATTTTGGAATATCTGACTGCCAGGAATGAGAAACAAGCTATTCTTATGTTTGTGGATGCAGAAAAGGCCTTTGACAACATAGCATGGGACTTTATGTTGAAAAATCTGGAGTATATGGAGGTGGGGAAAGAGTTTTTCAATGGGATAAAGGCAATATATACAGAACAGAGAGCTAAGTTGATTGTAAATAATGTGACTACGGAAGATATTAAAATATCTAAAGGAACTAGGCAGGGATGTCTGCTTTCGCCATTGCTGTTTATAATGGTCCTGGAGGTCTTTCTTAAAGCGATTAGACAAAATAAATTAATAAAAGGGATAACAGTTGGCCAGAATGAATATAAAGTTAAAGCCTTTGCAGACGATCTGGTAATAACGATTGAAGAACCAATAGAAAGTGTAAAAGAACTATTAGAGGAGATTGAACAATTTGGGAAAGTGGCAGGGTTCAAATTAAATAAGAAAACTAAAATAATTGCAAAAAATATGGAGCAAAGTATGATAGAAATAGTGCAACAACAATCGCGAAGTATTGGAAGACACAAGATTTACCCACCCAGGAAGAATGGCAGATGAAGTTGATGGATTATATGGAATTGGCGGAAATGACTGGCAGAATCCGAGACCAGGGAGAAGAGTTGGTGGAAGAAGATTGGAAAAAGTTTAAAGACTATTTACAGAAATACTGTAAAATTAATGAATGTTAGAAAAATGTTGGAATGAAGTTATATGGCTTTAGTAGAAATGATATAAGGAATTAAGTATAAATAGATTAATAGAGTATTAAAGGAAAAAATAAGGTTAGAATGTGTTAAGATAATTATAGGATAGAAAACAGAGGAAGATGGAAAGGAATTGCTGAAACAATTAACAGAAGTGGAATACAAAAAGGGAGGTGCGAGGAGGTTGTGGAAATTAGTGAATGAAAGATGGGATAATGAAATTGTTTGATTTATTTTACTGTTTTTGTTTTGTTTTGTTAGTTCAATGTGTTTAATGTGTCAATGTTAGGTAGTGTTTTTGTATTGTATTGTTTTTGTAGTGTTTAAATTGTTGGAAAAGTAATAAATATAATTTTTTAAAAAATAATAATAATGCAACAACAAACAGAGATAGAGGTGGTGAAAAAGGTAAAATATTTAGGAATTTGGTTAACTCCTAAAAACATTGATTTGTATCAGAACAATTACATACCGGTTTGGAACGGAATAAGGAAAGATCTGGAGGTGTGGGGTAGAATGAAACTATCTTTTTGGGGCAGAATTTCTACGATAAAGATGAGCGTCCTTCCAAAGATGTTATTCTTGTTTCAGACTATCCCCATAATAAAGGGGGTAACGATTTTTAAAGAGTGGCAAAGAGTGATCTCAAGGTATATCTGGCAGGGCAAAAAGCCGAAAATTAAATTTAAGCTACTAACAGATGCGAAGGAAAGAGGAGGCTTTGCCCTGCCAGACCTGAAGTTATATTATGAAGCAGCATGTCTTTGCTGGTTGAAAGAATGGATAAAATTAGAAAATAAAGAGTCACTGGACTTAGAAGGCTTTGATAACAGATTTGGATGGCACGCGTACTTATGGTGTGGGAAGAAGAAAATTCACAAAGGCTTTGGGAACCACATCTTCCGGAGTGCGTTAATAGAAATATGGGATAGGTATAAAAACCTATTAGAACCAAGAGTTCCACACTGGTTATCTCCGTTAGAAGTTATGAGTGTAAAGAAAATTAATATGAGAGGTAAATGGATTACATATGGTGAACTGATAATTAAAGAAGGAGGAAAATGGAAATTAAAACCATATGAACAAGTTAAAGAATATGTTTATGATTGGTTGCATTATTTTCAGGTGAATGAAATGTTTAAAAAGATTTTAAAGAAAGTGGTTATGCAGAAAAAGATTCTAAGTTTCAAATCGACATAATAAACAATGATTGTAAAATTCTGTCAAAAATGTATAAGATATTTTTGGAATGGCATACGAAAGATGAAAAAGTGAAATCGGTAATGATACAATGGGCCAGAGATTTCGGTTATAATATACAATTTGATGATTGGGAAAAACTATGGAAAGAAAACTTAAAATTTACTGCATGCACGGCGTTAAAGGAAAATGTGATGAAAATGTTTTATAGATGGTATATAACACCAGTAAAATTGGAAAAAATGTTTAAGACGTGTAATAAGTGTTGGAAATGTAAAGAAAAAGAAGGAACGTTTTATCATATGTGGTGGGATTGTAAGAAAGTGAAAAGTTTCTGGGAGATGATATATAATGAATTGAAAAAGATATTAAAATATACGTTTGTAAAGAAACCAGAGGCTTTTCTTTTAGGGATTACAGGAAACGAGATAAGAAGAAAAGACTGTAAACTCTTCCAATATGCAGTTACAGCTGCAAGGATTTTACTGGCCCAGAAATGGAAACAAGAGGAAATGCTGACGATTGAAGATTGGAGACTGAAACTGACAGACTATGCAGAATTGGACAAGCTAACTGGGAAAATTAGATATCTTAAGGACCAAAAGTTCATCGGACTGGGGGAAATTTGTAGAATATCTGAAAAATACATGTGATGTGCAAACAACGTTAGTGATACAGTGGTGCCCCGCAAGACGAATGCCTCGCAAGACGAAAAACTCACTAGACGAAAGAGTTTTCCGTTTTTTGAGTCGTTCCGCAAGACGAATTTCCCTATGGGCTTGCTTCGCAAGACGAAACGTCTTGCGAGTTCTTGCGAGTTTGTTTCCTTTTTCTTAAAGCCGCTAAGCCGCTAATAGCCGTGCTTCGCAAGACGAAAAAACCGCAAGACGAAGAGACTCGCGGAACGGATTAATTTCGTCTTGCGAGGCACCACTGTATTTCAAGAAGCACTGTGAAATTTGAGATGTATTGTTATAAAAAATAATAGAAGTGGGAGGGAAGACTAATGACAATACTAAGGAGAAGGAATGCGTGATTAAGAGGTAAAGATGGATGATTGTCAGAGAAGCTGAAGGAAGTCCAAAAAGAGAGAATTTATTTGTTAAAAATTGGATAAAATTGTGTATCTGTGTTGTAAATCGATAAAAATTATTATAAAAAAACCACAAGTGAACAGCAGAGAACCGGCACAAGTAACGCTGACACCAAACCCTACATACATTAAGCAAAATAGAAACAGGTTCACCACACTTTCTCATCCTGGTCTTCTTCCAGCTGCCTATGGTTGTGAAGGAGATTTACAACCATCTCCACCGGATCCCCGACACCCGCACTAAGGATGTGACGCTTTCGGCTATTGTCAGCCTAGCCACCAAGCGCCTGCAGCCGGTCGTAGACAGCCTGTTGGACTGCTCAAAGGAGTGTGATGAGTAAGTTTTTGTGATGTGAAAATGGGGAGGGCTAGATTTAAGGGGTTTCTTAATTTATATTTATTTATATTGAATTTCGTACTTGCAAAAATTGTGCTCCAAGTTGTGGTTTCTTTCTTTGCTAATGTATGTGCAATATAAAGAAAATATCAAAGGCCTGACTTTTTTTTAAGAAAAGGAAAAATGAAAAATTCTGTTTTGAAAAATTGCAGAAGTACCGCAGTGATCTGGAAGGCGTTGGTCGCCGATCCGTATTCCAGCGTCAAGCTGCTGAGACCCCTCCTGAAAAGGCTGCAGGATGAAGACCCCAAAGCGGAAGTCCCTTCCAGGCGATGCAGCACTTCTCAAATGCCAATGGCGGTACGAAGCCACTCAGTTTCTCTCTCCTGGATTGTTTTGAATGGGAGCTGGATGGGGCTGGGGGCTTCTTGCTGGGAGGGGGGTGCATCTTAATAAGTGGTCCATCCTGTGAGCACCTGCTTTGTATGCAGAAGGGCCCCAGCATCTCCATGTCGGGGAGTCCCTCGCCTGAAACCCTGGACAGCCACTGCTAGTCAGTGTAGACAACACTGAGTGAGATGGACCGGGGCTCTGAGCCGCGTCTGAGTCTGAGATCTTGATCTGACGATGACCTCTGCTGAATGCCGTTCTCCTCTCCTTGTCCCTCCAGGCTACCAACGCTCTGTGTCATATCCTGTCGTTCCCTGAGGCTGCAGGTATCCTGAAGAGCAAGTTCCCCCACCTGCTGTTTGCACTTAGCACTCAGATCTGTTTTGTCCATGAGGCGAGAAGAAGAGGTTCGAGAGCGACAAGTCTAATCCCGGAGCCCTCTTCGCATCTCGATCCGCTGACGTGAGGGACCTGCTAATGCATTGGGGGGGGCCCTCCCTTCTCTCTCTGACCCATAGCAGTGATGGCTCAGCCCTCCCCCAAGAGATAGGCTTCATTTGGACATGGAGGTTCTGCTTAGGTTAGATAGCTAGGAGACCCAGGCTTCCCCAACCCCTGTGCTCTTCAGTCGCTTTGGACCACAACTCCCACCAGCCCCAGCCAGCACAACTGGGCTGAAGATGGGAGTTATTGTAGCCCAAAACATCTGAAGGACACTAGGATGGGAGAGGATGCTGGAGACTCTCCCGCACGATGGGCTGATTTGGGTGTGGTGGGACTCACGTGTCATGGAACCTTAAGTCTCCATCAGAGCCAAAAGGTTGCCGCTTGTGCTGGAAACATGGGGGAGGCTGCAGGGGGTGATGGTTGGGGTTGGACTGCAAGATGTCAAGGACCTAAAACTCCCCAGATGAACCTACCCAGACCTTGTGCTCATCATCGGAAGCCCCTCTTCACGTGCCTCCTCCACACAAGAAGGGGCCTTTTCTGTGGTGGCTCCCCATTAGTGAGTTGCTCTCCCCAGGGAGGCTTGCCTGGTGCCTTTAGATGCCAGGCAAAAATGGTCCTCTTCAATCAGGCCATTGGCTGATTAACCTCTTATGCCCTTTCAACTGTGTTTGTTGGAGGGAGAGGAGTTATTGGTTTGCTTTGGTTTTTTATTCTGTATTTTGTGCTTTTTAACTTGCATTTTTATGTTGTGAACTGCCCGGAGATCTACAGGTGAAGGGCAGTATACAAATTTTAAAAATATAATATTCTTAATTCCTTCACTTGACTCAGGATCGCTGTGCAGGCCCTGAAACAACTGATTGGGCGTGTTGAATACCTTGATGATTTTGAGGTTTTGGAGTTGCAAAGCTGCTGGGATATGCTGTCAAGTCCAGAAAGCTTTTTCCAAGGCATTCGTCTTCTGGCAAGGTAAGAAGGTGAAAAGGACTGGCAGGTGAGGCATGAAGAGCAAGGCCTGCTTTCTGGGGAAATGGGGATAAACTTCTTATTTATTTCAGAAAATGTACCATATTGTCCATTCTATAAGACGCAGTTTTCCCTCCTAAAAGTAAGGGGAAATGTGTGTGCGTCTTATGGAGCGAATGCAGGTGGGAGGCTCTGCTCAGCGTTCAAGTAACCTGGTAGTGGTGGTTGTTGTGCAGGAACGCTGAGCAGTTCTTCCTGCCAGCTTCAGGCTTGTGAATCCTTTGTTTCTTACTCTTATGTTTCAGGACCTTGTACACATCCTCGAAAGAACAGTACAAGAGGATTGCCCGATTGGCACGGGAATATATGTGCTGTCCAAGCAATAAGAAGAGAGCCATCGGCATGGCGTTTTACTTGGAGGTAGGAACTGGAAACAGGGAATGCCTGTTCTAATGTTTCTAATGGTTTCTTTATTCCTCGCAATTTAACTGTCAAATGTTCTTTAGCATTTACACATTTTTTATTTAATTGTACAACTTCAGCTGCATTCACTTCTATCATGTCTAATATATATGGACAATGTTTTTTTGATAGAAGATAAATGTATACATAATAAAAGATGCACTTACAGTGGCTTTGCTCCAACTTAGGGGATGTCCGACTCCGATACGGACACGTCCGAGACCTAGCGCGCAAGTTACTGCAGGCAGCAATCATACAGGTATTCCGTTAATGGATGGACAAGTCTTCACCTTTGGAAGGCTAAGATTTTTCTTAAAATTACATTTTTATATGTACTATTGGAAACATCTTAAAGCTGGTATAAGTTCATATGTATTTATTTTTGCCTGCTTTAAAGATTGATTTTTGTGTGTCTGCTGGTTTATTATATATCATTTTTTCTCTTTGTTCCGCTATGTATCGGGGTGGGGAGACATAATAATAATAATAATAATAATAATAATAATAATAATCCTTTGCTCATCCAAATAAGCTGTTTTCATTTATTTATTGAAGCCACTAAGTCTTTGAACGGAAGAGATTTCTCCAGTTTCAAGCCTCATCTCATGCTGTTTATGAGCCAAGTCCAAACCCTCTGCAGTTCAGACCCAGCTTACAATGTGTTTGGTTCAGCATGATTCCAACCAGATCATGCTCCTTCCTTCCCTTTCCCACCAAAATGTACCTGACTGTGAGAGGAGAGGCGAATTAGATTGGGAGGGCCATGCCCAGCCCTAGAGGTTGGAATGCGGGGTCCAGGCCCTCCAGAAACCAGCGGAGAACTCCATAGTTCCAAATGGAAGCACCAGCCTAGCTTCTGCTGTGGCCAGATTGAGATGAGAAGGGGCAGGAGGGGTCATGCGTGGCTGGGTGCTTCTTGGTGGAGACCATTGAACTGAAGTGAGCTGCTTTGGGGGCCAACCTGAATCAATCCCAGAATAACCCGTTCAAGAGGTGCTTTTTAGAAACTGAGCTCACAGTCCAACTGTAAAACCATGACATTATATGCTTATGAAATACGTGATATTTACTGTCTGATAAGGGGGGGGGCAGCTCTATAACTTCCATGGATCACAACAAGCCAGGGGGTCAAAACAAGGCACCACCTTCTCAGGTGAATATCAGGCTTGAGTCCATAAATGTTGCTCGACTTTATCTGGTGTCACTTAGGCTCTGCCAGTTAGACCACCTGTGCTGCTGCCGCTGCCCAATCTAGCTGTCAAAGCCTCAATGACCTGCGCTGCTGCCACTGCCTCTTCTGGCTGCTAAAGCCTCAACGACCTGCGCTGCTGCCACTGCCTCTTCTGGCTGTCAAAGCCTCAACGACCTGCGCTGCTCCCACTGCCACTTCTGGCTGTCAAAGCCTCAATGACCTGCGCTGCTGCCACTGCCTCTTCTGGCTGCTAAAGCCTCAACGACCTGCGCTGCTGCCACTGCCTCTTCTGGCTGTCAAAGCATCGATTACCTGCCTGCTGCCGCAGCCCCCTCTGCCTCTCAAAGCCTCGACAACCTACTCTGCTGCCACAGCCCTTTCTGGCTGTCAAAGCCTCAATGACCTGCGCTGCTGCCACTGCCTCTTCTGGCTGTCAAAGCCTCAACAACCTGCGCTGCTGCCGCTGCCCCTCCTGGCTGTCAAAGCCTCGATGACCTGCTCTGCTACCACTGCCCCTTCTGGCTGTGAAAGCCTCGACGACCTGCTCTGCTGCCACAGCCCCTTCTGGCTGTCAAAGCCTCAACAACCTGCGCTGCTGCCACTGCCTCTTCTGGCTGTCAAAGCCTCAACGACCAGCACTGCTGCCACTGCCTCTTCTGGCTGTCAAAGCCTCGACGACCTGCGCTGCTGCCGCTACCCCTTCTGGCTGTCAAAGCCTCGATGACCTGCTCTGCTGCCACTGCCCCTTCTGGGTGTCAAAGCCTAGACTACCTGCGCTGCTGCCACTGCCTCTTCTGGCTGTCAAAGCCTCCACGACCTGCTATGCTGCCACTGCCCCTTCCGGCTGTCAAAGCCTCGATGACCTGCGCTGCTGCCACTGCCTCTTCTGGCTGTCAAAGCCTCAATGACCTGCGCTGCTGCCACTGCCTCTTCTGGCTGTCAAAGCATCGATGACCTGCCTGCTGCCGCAGCCCCCTCTGGCTCTCAAAGCCTCGACAACCTACTCTGCTGCCGCAGCCCTTTCTGGCTGTCAAAGCCTCAATGACCTGCGCTGCTGCCACTGCCTCTTCTGGCTGTCAAAGCCTCAACAACCTGCGCTGCTGCCGCTGCCCCTCCTGGCTGTCAAAGCCTCGATGACCTGCTCTGCTACCACTGCCCCTTCTGGTTGTCAAAGCGTTGACGACGTGTGCTGCTGCCACTGCCTCTTCTGGCTGTCAAAGCCTCCACGACCTGCTATGCTGCCACTGCCCCTTCTGGCTGTCAAAGCCTCGACAACCTGCTTTGCTGCCGCAGCCCCTTCTGGCTGTCGAAGCCTCAACGACCTGCTATGCTTCCACTGCCTGTTCTGGCTGTCAAAGCCTCGATGACCTGCGCTGCTACCTCTGTCTCTTCTGTCTGTCAAAGCCTCAACAACCTGCGCTGCTGCCACTGCCTCTTCTGGCTGTCAAAGCCTCAACGACCTGCTATGCTGCCACTGCCCCTTCTGGCTGTCAAAGCCTCAACGACCTGCTATGCTGCCACTGCCCCTTCTGGCTGTCAAAGCCTCGATGACCTGCGCAGCTGCAGCAGCCACTTCTGGCTGTCAAAGCCTCGACAACCTGCTCTGCTGCCGCAGCCCCTTCTGGCTGTCGAAGCCTCAACGACCTGTGCTGCTGCCACTGCCTATTCTGGCTGTCAAAGCCTCAACGACTTGCGCTGCTGCCCCTGCCTCTTCTGGCTGTCAAAGCCTCGACGACCTGCGCTGCTGCCGCTGCCCCTTCTGGCTGTCAAAGCCTCAATGACCTGCGCTGCTGCCACGGCCTCTTCTGGTTGTCAAAGCCTCGACAACCTGCTCTGCTGCCGCAGCCGCTTCTGGCTGTCAAAGCCTCAACGACCTGCTATGCTGCCACAGCCCCTCCTGGCTGTCAAAGCATCGATGACCTGCTATGCTGCGACTGCCCATTCTGTCGGTTAAAGCCTCGATGACCTGTGCTGCTGCCGGAGCCTCTTCTGGCTGTCAAAGCCTCAACAATCTGCGCTGCTGCCGCTGCCCCTCCTGGCTGTCAAAGCCTCAAAGACCTGCACTGCTGCCGCAGCCCCTTCTGGCTGTCAAAGCCTCGATGACCTGCGCTGCTTCCACTGCCTCTTCTGGCTGTCAAAGCCTCGATGACCTGCGCTGCTGCCGCAGCCCCTTCTCACTGTCAAAGCCTTGATGACCTGCTCTGCTACCACTGCCCCTTCTGGCTGTCAAAGCCTCAACAACCTGCGCTGCTGCCACTGCCTCTTCTGGCTGTCAAAGCCTCAATAACCTGCGCTGCTGCCGCTGCCTCTTCTGGCTGTCAAAGCCTCAACGACCTGCGCTGCTGCTGCTGCCCCTTCTGGCTGTCAAAGCCTCGATGACCTTCTCTGCTGCCGCAGCCCCTTCTGGCTGTCAAAGCCTCAACAACCTGCGCTGCTGCCACTGCCTCTTCTGGCTGTCAAAGCCTCAATAACCTGCACTGCTGCCACTGCCTCTTCTGGCTGTCAAAGCCTCCACGACCTGCTATGCTGCCACTGCCCCTTCTGGCTGTCAAAGCCTCGACAACCTGCTCTGCTGCCACTGCCCCTTGTGGCTGTCAAAGCCTCAACGACCTGCGCTGCTGCCACTGCCTATTCTGGCTGTCAAAGCCTCAACGACTTGCGCTGCTGCCCCTGCCTCTTCTGGCTGTAAAAGCCTCGATGACCTGCGCTGCTGCCGCAGCCCCTTCTCACTGTCAAAGCCTCGATGACCTGCTCAGCTACCACTGCCCCTTCTGGCTGTCAAAGCCTCGACGACCTGCTCTGCTGCCGCAGCCCCTTCTGGCTGTCAAAGCCTCAATGACCTGCGCTGCTGCCACTGCCTCTTCTGGCTGTCAAAGCCTCGACGACCTGCGCTGCTGCCGCTACCCCTTCTGGCTGTCAAAGCCTCCACGACCTGCTATGCTGCCACTGCCCCTTCCGGCTGTCAAAGCCTCGATGACCTGCGCTGCTGCCACTGCCTCTTCTGGCTGCTAAAGCCTCAACGACCTGCGCTGCTGCCACTGCCTCTTCTGGCTGTCAAAGCATCGATGACCTGCCTGCTGCCGCAGCCCCCTCTGGCTCTCAAAGCCTCGACAACCTACTCTGCTGCCGCAGCCCCTTCTGGCTGTCAAAGCCTCAATGACCTGCGCTGCTGCCACTGCCTCTTCTGGCTGTCAAAGCCTCAACAACCTGCGCTGCTGCCTCTGCCCCTCCTGGCTGTCAAAGCCTCGATGACCTGCTCTGCTACCACTGCCCCTTCTGGCTGTGACAGCCTCGACGACCTGCTCTGCTGCCACAGCCCCTTCTGGCTGTCAAAGCCTCAACAACCTGCGCTGCTGCCACTGCCTCTTCTGGCTGTCAAAGCCTCAACGACCAGCACTGCTGCAGCAGACCCTTCTCACTGTCAAAGCCTCGATGACCTGCTCTGCTGCCACAGCCCCTTCTGGCTGTCAAAGCGTTGACGACGTGTGCTGCTGCCACTGCCTCTTCTGGCTGTCAAAGCCTCCACGACCTGCTATGCTGCCACTGCCCCTTCTGGCTGTCAAAGCCTCGATGACCTGCGCTGCTGCAGCAGCCACTTCTGGCTGTCAAAGCCTCGACAACCTGCTCTGCTGCCGCAGCCCCTTCTGGCTGTCAAAGCCTCAACGACCTGTGCTGCTGCCACTGCCTATTCTGGCTGTCAAAGCCTCAACGACTTGCGCTGCTGCCCCTGCCTCTTCTGGCTGTCAAAGCCTCGACGACCTGCGCTGCTGCCGCTGCCCCTTCTGGCTGTCAAAGCCTCGATGACCTGCTCTGCTGCCACTGCCCCTTCTGGCTGTCAAAGCCTCAACAACCTGCGCTGCTGCCACGGCCTCTTCTGGCTGTCAAAGCCTCGACGACCTGCGCTGCTTCCACTGCCTCTTCTGGCTGTCAAAGCCTTGATGACCTGCGCTGCTACCTCTGTCTCTTCTGTCTGTCAAAGCCTCAACAACCTGCGCTGCTGCCACTGCCTCTTCTGGCTGTCAAAGCCTCGATGACCTGCTCTCCTGCCACAGCCCCTTCTGGCTGTCAAAGCCTCGATGACCTGCGCTGCTGCCGCTGCCCCTTCTGGCTGTCAAAGCCTCGACGACCTGCGCTGCTGCTGCTGCCTCTTCTGGCTATCAAAGCCTTGACGACCTGCGCTGCTGCCGCAGCCCCTTCTGGCTGTCAAAGCCTCGATAACCTGGGCTGCTACCTCTGCCTCTTCTGGCTGTGAAAGCCTCAACGACTTGCGCTGCTGCCGCAGCCCCTTCTGGCTGTCAAAGCCTCGATAACCTGGGCTGCTACCTCTGCCTCTTCTGGCTGTCAAAGCCTCAACAACCTGCGATGCTGCCGCTGCCCTTTCTAGCTGTCAAAGCCTCAATGACCAGCTCTCCTGCCACTGCCCCTTCTGAGTGTTAAATCCTCGATGACCTGGGCTGCTGCCGCTGCCCTTTCTGGCTGTCAAAGCCTCAATGACCAGCTCTCCTGCCACTGCCCCTTCTGAGTGTCAAAGCCTCGACGACCTGTGCTGCTGCCGCTGCCCCTTCTGGCTGTCAAAGCCTCAACGACTTGCGCTGCTGCCGCTGCCCCTTCTGGCTGTCAAAGCCTCAACGACCTGCGTTGCTGTCGCTGCCCCTTCCGGCTGTCAAAGCCTCAATGACCTGCGCTGCTGCCGCTGCCCTTTCTGGCTGTCAAAGCCTCAACGACCTGCGCTGCTGCCACAGCCCCTTCTGGCTGTCAAAGCCTCGATGACTTGCGGTGCTCCCCCTGCCCCTTCTGGCTGTCAAAGCCTCAACGACCTGCTATGCTGCCACTGCCCCTTCTGGCTGTCAAAGCCTCGATGACCTGCGCTGCTGCAGCAGCCACTTCTGGCTGTCAAAGCCTCGACAACCTGCTCTGCTGCCGCAGCCCCTTCTGGCTGTCGAAGCCTCAACGACCTGCGCTGCTGCCACTGCCTATTCTGGCTGTCAAAGCCTCAACGACTTGCGCTGCTGCAGCTGCCTCTTCTGGCTGTCAAAGCCTCGACGACCTGCGCTGCTGCCGCTGCCCCTTCTGGCTGTCAAAGCCTCGATGACCTGCTCTGCTGCCACAGCCCCTTCTGGCTGTCAAAGCCTTGACGACCTGCGCTGCTGCCGCTGCCCCTTCTGGCTGTCGAAGCTTCGATGACCTGCGCTGCTGCCGCAGCCCCTTCTGGCTGTCAAAGCCTCGATGACCTGCTCTGCTGCCACTGCCCCTTCTGGCTGTCAAAGCCTCAACGACCTGCGCTGCTGCCACGGCCTCTTCTGGCTGTCAAAGCCTCGACGACCTGCGCTGCTACCGCAGCCCCTTCTGGCTGTCAAAGCCTCGATGACCTGCTCTGCTTCCACTGCCTCTTCTGGCTGTCAAAGCCTCGATGACCTGCTCTGCTGCCACTGCCCCTTCTGGCTGTGAAAGCCTCAACGACCTGCGCTGCTGCCACGGCCTCTTCTGGCTGTCAAAGCCTCGACGACCTGCGCTGCTGCCGCAGCCCCTTCTGGCTGTCAAAGCCTCGATGACCTGCTCTGCTTCCACTGCCTGTTCTGGCTGTCATATCCTCGATGACCTGCGCTGCTACCTCTGTCTCTTCTGTCTGTCAAAGCCTCAACAACCTGCGCTGCTGCCACTGCCTCTTCTGGCTGTCAAAGCCTCAACGACCTGCTATGCTGCCACTGCCCCTTCTGGCTGTCAAAGCCTCAACGACCTGCTATGCTGCCACTGCCCCTTCTGGCTGTCAAAGCCTCGATGACCTGCGCTGCTGCAGCAGCCACTTCTGGCTGTCAAAGCCTCGACAACCTGCTCTGCTGCCGCAGCCCCTTCTGGCTGTCGAAGCCTCAACGACCTGTGCTGCTGCCACTGCCGATTCTGGCTGTCAAAGCCTCAACGCCTTTCGCTGCTGCCCCTGCATCTTCTGGCTGTCAAAGCCTCGACGACCTGCGCTGCTGCCGCTGCCCCTTCTGGCTGTCAAAGCCTCGATGACCTGCGCTGCTGCCTCTGCCCCTTCTGGCTGTCAAAGCCTCGACGACCTGCGCTGCTGCCGCTGCCCCTTCTGGCTGTCAAAGCCTCGATGACCTGCTCTGATACCACTGCCCCTTCCCGCTGTCAAAGCTTCGATGACCTGCGCTGCTGCCGCAGCCCCTTCTGGCTGTCAAAGCCTCGATGACCTGCTCTGCTGCCAATGCCCCTTCTGGCTGTCAAAGCCTCAACGACCTGCGCTGCTGCCACGGCCTCTTCTGGCTGTCAAAGCCTCGACGACCTGCGCTGCTACCGCAGCCCCTTCTGGCTGTCAAAGCCTCGATGACCTGCTCTGCTTCCACTGCCTCTTCTGGCTGTCAAAGCCTCGATGACCTGCTCTGCTGCCACTGCCCCTTCTGGCTGTGAAAGCCTCAACGACCTGCGCTGCTGCCACGGCCTCTTCTGGCTGTCAAAGCCTCGACGACCTGCGCTGCTGCCGCAGCCCCTTCTGGCTGTCAAAGCCTCGATGACCTGCTCTGCTTCCACTGCCTGTTCTGGCTGTCAAAGCCTCGATGACCTGCGCTGCTACCTCTGTCTCTTCTGTCTGTCAAAGCCTCAACAACCTGCGCTGCTGCCACTGCCTCTTCTGGCTGTCAAAGCCTCGATGACCTGCTCTCCTGCCACTGCCCCTTCTGGCTGTCAAAGCCTCGAAGACCTGTGCTGCTGCCACTGCCTCTTCTGGCTGTCAAAGCCTCGATGACCTGCTCTCCTGCCACTGCCCCTTCTGGCTGTCAAAGCCTCGATGACCTGCTCTGCTTCCACTGCCTCTTCTGGCTGTCAAAGCCTCGATGACCTGCGCTGCTACCTCTGTCTCTTCTGTCTGTCAAAGCCTCAACAACCTGCGCTGCTGCCACTGCCTCTTCTGGCTGTCAAAGCCTCGATGACCTGCTCTCCTGCCGCTGCCCCTTCTGGCTGTCAAAGCCTCGATAACCTGGGCTGCTACCTCTGCCTCTTCTGGCTGTCAAAGCCTCAACAACCTGCGCTACTGCTGCTGCCTTTCTGGCTGTCAAAGCCTCGACGACCTGCTCTGCTGCCACTGCCCCTTCTGGCTGTCAAAGCCTCAACGACCTGCGCTGCTGCCACGGCCTCTTCTGGCTGTCAAAGCTTCGACGACCTGCGCTGCTGCCGCTGCCCCTTCTGGCTGTCAAAGCCTCGATGACCTGCTCTGATACCACTGCCCCTTCCCGCTGTCAAAGCATCGATGACCTGCGCTGCTGCCGCAGCCCCTTCTGGCTGTCAAAGCCTCGATGACCTGCGCTGCTGCCAATGCCCCTTCTGGCTGTCAAAGCCTCAACGACCTGCGCTGCTGCCACGGCCTCTTCTGGCTGTCAAAGCCTCGACGACCTGCGCTGCTGCCGCAGCCCCTTCTGGCTGTCAAAGCCTCGATGACCTGCTCTGCTTCCACTGCCTCTTCTGGCTGTCAAAACCTCGATGACCTGCTCTGCTGCCACTGCCCCTTCTGGCTGTGAAAGCCTCAACGACCTGCGCTGCTGCCACGGCCTCTTCTGGCTGTCAAAGCCTCGACGACCTGCGCTGCTGCCGCAGCCCCTTCTGGCTGTCAAAGCCTCGATGACCTGCTCTGCTTCCACTGCCTCTTCTGGCTGTCAAAGCCTCGATGACCTGCGCTGCTACCTCTGTCTCTTCTGTCTGTCAAAGCCTCAACAACCTGCGCTGCTGCCACTGCCTCTTCTGGCTGTCAAAGCCTCGATGACCTGCTCTCCTGCCAATGCCCCTTCTGGCTGTCAAAGCCTCAAGACCTGTGCTGCTGCCACTGCCTCTTCTGGCTGTCAAAGCCTCGATGACCTGCTGCTCCTGCCACTGCCCCTTCTGGCTGTCAAAGCCTCGATGACCTGCTCTGCTTCCACTGCCTCTTCTGGCTGTCAAAGCCTCGATGACCTGCGCTGCTACCTCTGTCTCTTCTGTCTGTCAAAGCCTCAACAACCTGCGCTGCTGCCACTGCCTCTTCTGGCTGTCAAAGCCTCGATGACCTGCTCTCCTGCCGCTGCCCCTTCTGGCTGTCAAAGCCTCGATGACCTGCGCTGCTGCCGGAGCCTCTTCTGGCTGTCAAAGCCTCAACAACCTGCGCAACTGCACCTGCCCATACTGGCTGACAAAGCCTCGACGACCTGCTCTGCTCCCACTGCCCCTTCTGGCTGTCAAAGCCTCGACGACCTGCGCTGCTGCCGCTGCCCCTTCTGGCTGTCAAAGCCTCGATGACCTGCGCTGCTGCCGCAGACCCTTCTCACTGTCAAAGCCTCGATGACCTGCGCTGCTTCCGCAGCCCCTTCTGGCTGTCAAAGCCTCGATGACCGGCTCTGCTGCCTCTGCCTCTTCTCGCTGTCAAAGCCTCAATGACCTGCGCTGCTACCTCTGTCTCTTCTGTCTGTCAAAGCCTCAACAACCTGCGCTGCTGCCGCTGCCTCTTCTGGCTGTCAAAGCCTCGACGACCTGCGCTGCTGCCGCAGCCCCTTCTGGCTGTCAAAGCCTCGAAGACCTGTGCTGCTACCTCTGTCTCTTCTGGGTGTCAAAGCCTTGACGACCTGCGCTGCTGCCACTGCCCATTCTGGCTGTCAAAGCCTCAAAGACTTGCGCTGCTGCCCCTGCCTCTTCTGGCTGTCAAAGCCTCGATGACCTGCTATGCTGCCACTGCCCCTTCCGGCTGTCAAAGCCTCGACGACCTGCGCTGCTGCCGCTGTCTCTTCTGGCTGTCAAAGCCTCAACAACCTGCGCTGCTGCCACTGCCCCTTCTGGCTGTCAAAGCCTCGACGACCTACGCTGCTGCCGCTGCCCCTTCTGGCTGTCAAAGCCTCAACGACCTGCGCTGCTGCAGCAGCCCCTTCTGGCTGTCAAAGCCTCAACGACCTGCGCTGCTGCCACAGCCTCTTCTGGCTGTCAAAGCTTCGATGACTTGCGCTGCTGCCTCTGCCCATTCTGGCTGTCAAAGCTTTGACGACCTGCCCTGCTTCTTCTGCCTCTTCTGGCTGTCAAAGCCTCGATGACCTGTCCTGCTGCCTCTGCCCATTCTGGCTGTCAAAGCTTTGACGACCTGCCCTGCTTCTTCTGCCTCTTCTGGCTGTCAAAGCCTCGACGACCTGCGCTGCTGCTGCTTCCTCTTCTGGCTGTCAAAGCCTCAATGACCTGCGCTGCTGCTGCTGCCTCTTCTGGCTGTCAAAGCCTCAATGACCTGTGCTGCTGCCTCTGCCTCTTCTGGCTGTCAAAGCGTCGATGACCTGTGCTTCTGCCGCTGACCCTTCTGGCTGTCAAAGCCTCGACGACCTGCGCTGCTGCCGCAGCCCCTTCTGGCTGTCAAAGCCTCGACGACCTGCTCTGCTTCCACTGCCTCTTCTGGCTGTCAAAGCCTCCATGACCTGCGCTGCTACCTCTGTCTCTTCTGTCTGTCAAAGCCTCAACAACCTGCACTGCGGCCACTGCCTCTTCTGGCTGTCAAAGCCTCGATGACCTGCTCTCCTGCCACTGCCCCTTCTGGCTGTCAAAGCCACAACGACCTGTGCTGCTGCCACTGCCTGTTCTGGCTGTCAAAGCCTCGATGACCTGCTATGCTGCTACTGCTCCTTCTGGCTGTCAAAGCCTCGATGACCTGCGCTGCTGCCGCTGCCCCTTCTGGCTGTCAAAGCCTCGACGACCTGCGCTGCTGCTGCTGCCTCTTCTGGCTATCAAAGCCTTGACGACTTGCGCTGCTGCCGCAGCCCCTTCTGGCTGTCAAAGCCTCAACAACCTGCGCTGCTGCCGCTGCCCTTTCTGGCTGTCAAAGCCTCAATGACCAGCTCTCCTGCCACTGCGCCTTCTGGCTATCAAAGCCTTGACGACTTGCGCTGCTGCCTCAGCCCCTTCTGGCTGTCAAAGCCTCGATAACCTTCGCTGCTACCTCTGACTCTTCTGGCTGTCAAAGCCTCAACAACCTGCGATGCTGCCGCTGCCCTTTCTGGCTGTCAAAGCCTCAATGACCAGCTCTCCTGCCACTGCCCCTTCTGAGTGTCAAAGCCTCGACGACCTGTGCTGCTGCCGCAGCCTCTTCTGGCTGTCTAATCCACGACGACCTGCTATGCTCCCACTGCCCCTTCTGGCTGTCAAAGCCTCGAAGACCTGCGCTGCTGCCGCAGCCCTTCTGGCTGTCAAAGCCTCGATGACCTGCGCTGCTTCCGCAGCCCCTTCTGGCTGTCAAAGCCTCGATGACCTGCGCTGCGGCCGCTGCCTCTTCTGGCTGTCAAAGCCTCGACGAGCTGCGCTGCTGCCGCAGCCCCTTCTGGCTGTCAAAGCCTCGATGACTGGCTCTGCTGCCTCTGCCTCTTCTGGCTGTCAAAGCCTCGATGACCTGCGCTGCTACCTCTGTCTCTCAAAGCCTCAACAACCTGCGCTGCTGCCGCTGCCTCTTCTGGCTGTCAAAGCCTCGACGACCTGCGCTGCTGCCACAGCCCCTTCTGGCTGTCAAAGCCTCGAAGACCTGTGCTGCTACCTCTGTCTCTTCAGGGTGTCAAAGCCTTGACAACCTGCGCTGCTGCCACTGCCCATTCTGGCTGTCAAAGCCTCAACGACTTGCGCTGCTGCCCCTGCCTCTTCTGGCTGTCAAAACCTCGATGACCTGCTATGCTGCCACTGCCCCTTCCGGCTGTCAAAGCCTCGACGACCTGCGCTGCTGCCGCTGTCTCTTCTGGCTGTCAAAGCCTCGATGACCTGCTCTCCTCCCACTGCCCCTTCTGGCTGTCAAAGCCTCAACAACCTGCGCTGCTGCCACTGCCCCTTCTGGCTGTCAAAGCCTCGATGACCTGCTCTCCTCCCACTGCCCCTTCTGGCTGTCAAAGCCTCAACGACCTGCGCTGCTGCCACAGCCTCTTCTGGCTGTCAAAGCCTCGATTACTTGCGGTGCTCCCCCTGCCTCTTCTGGCTGTCAAAGCCTCAACGACCTGCGCTGCTGCCGCAGCCTCTTCTAACTCTCAAAGCCTCGATGACCTGCGCTGCTGCCGCAGCCCCTTCTTGCTGTCAAAGCCTCGATGACCTGTGCTGCTGCCACAGCCCCTTCTGGTTGTTAAAGCCTCGATGACCTGCGCTGCTGCCTCTGCCTCTTCTGGCTGTCAAAGCCTCGATGACCTGTGCTGCTGCCTCTGCCCATTCTGACTGTCAAAGCTTCGACGACCTGCCCTGCTTCTTCTGCCTCTTCTGGCTGTCAAAGCCTCGACGACCTGCGCTGCTGCTGCTGCCTCTTCTGGCTGTCAAAGCCTCAATGACCTGCGCTGCTGCTGCTGCCTCTTCTGGCTGTCAAAGCCTCAATGACCTGTGCTGCTGCCTCTGCCTCTTCTGGCTGTCAAAGCCTCGACGACCTGCGCTGCTGCCTCTGCCTCTTTTGGCTGTCAAAGCCTCAATGACCTGCGCTGCTGCTGCTGCCTCTTCTGGCTGTCAAAGCCTCAATGACCTGTGCTGCTGCCTCTGCCTCTTCTGGCTGTCAAAGCCTTGGTGACCTGCGCTGCTGCCACAGCCCCTTCTGACTGTCTAAGCCTCGATGACTTGCGCTGCTGCCTCTGCCTCTTCTGGCTGTCAATGCCTCGACGACCTGCGCTGCTGCCTCTGCCTCCTCTGCTCGATGACCTGTGCTGTTGCCGCAGCACCTTCTGGCTTCAAACTTCAGACTTCAGTTTCCAGACTTCAGTTATCAACCTGGTAAGAAACAAAATAAAAAAAAACCTTCCAGTAGCTCCTTAGAGACCAACTCAGCTTGTTATTGGTATGAGCTTTCGTGTGCATGCACGCTTCTTCAGATACAAAGTACAGTGGTACCTCGGGTTAAGTACTTAATTCGTTCCAGAGGTCTGTTCTTAACCTGAAATTGTTCTTACCCTGAAGCACCACTTTAGCTAATGGGGCCTCCTGCTGCTGCCGCGCCGCCGGAGCACGATTTCTGTTCTCGTCCTGAAGCAAAGTTCTTAACCTGAAGCACTATTTCTGGGTTAGCGGAGTCTGTAACCTGAAGCGTATGTAGAATCATAGAATCATAGAATCATAGAATCATAGAGCTGGAAGAGACCACAAGGGCCATCGAGTCCAACCCCCTGCCAAGCAGGAAACACCATCAGAGCACTCCTGACATATGGTTGTCAAGCCTCTGCTTAAAGACCTCCAAAGAAGGAGACTCCACCACACTCCTTGGCAGCAAATTCCACTGTCGAACAGCTCTTACTGTCAGGAAGTTCTTCCTAATGTTTAGGTGGAATCTTCTTTCTTGTAGTTTGGATCCATTGCTCCGTGTCCGCTTCTCTGGAGCAGCAGAAAACAACCTTTCTCCCTCCTCTATGTGACATCCTTTTATATATTTGAACATGGCTATCATATCACCCCTTAACCTCCTCTTCTCCAGGCTAAACATGCCCAGCTCCCTTAGCCGTTCCTCATAAGGCATCGTTTCCAGGCCTTTGACCATTTTGGTTGCCCTCCTCTGGACACGTTCCAGTTTGTCAGTGTCCTTCTTGAACTGTGGTGCCCAGAACTGGACACAGTACTCCAGGTGAGGTCTGACCAGAGCAGAATACAGTGGCACTATTACTTCCCTTGATCTAGATGCTATACTCCTATTGATGCAGCCCAGAATTGCATTGGCTTTTTGAGCTGCCGCGTCACACTGTTGGCTCATGTCAAGTTTGTGGTCAACCAAGACTCCTAGATCCTTTTCACATGTACTGCTCTCAAGCCAGGTGTCCCCCATCTTGTATTTGTGCCTCTCATTTTTTGCCCAAGTGCAATACTTTACATTTCTCCCTGTTCAAATTCATCTTGTTTGTTTTGGCCCAGTTCTCTAATCTGTCAAGGTCGTTTTGAAGTGTGATCCTGTCCTCTGGGGTGTTAGCCACCCCTCCCAGTTTGGTGTCATCTGCAAATTTGATCAGGATGCCCTTGAGTCCATCATCCAAGTCATTGATAAAGATGTTGAATAAGACCGGGCCCAAGACAGAACCCTGTGGCACCCCACTAGTCACCCTTCTCCAGGATGAAGAGGAACCATTGATGAGCACCCTTTGGGTTCGCTCAGTCAGCCAGTTACAAATCCACTGAGTGGTAGCATAGTCAAGACCGCATTTTACCAGCTTCTTTACAAGAATATCATGGGGCACCTTGTCAAATGCCTTGCTGAAATCAAGGTAGGCTACATCCACTGCGTTCCCTTCATCTACCAGGCTTGTAATTCTGTCAAAAACGAGATCAGGTTAGTCTGACATGACTTATTTTTCAGAAATCCATGCTGACTATTAGTGATCACAGCATTCCTTTCTAGGTGCTCACAGACTGTTTGCTTAATGATCTGCTCCAGAATCTTCCCTGGTACTGATGTCAGACTGACTGGGCGGTAATTATTTGGGTCCTCTCTTTTCCCCTTGAAAATAGGGACAACATTTGCCCTCCTCCAGTCTGCCGGGACTTCGCCTGTTCTCCAGGAATTCTCAAAGATGACTGCCAGTGGTTCTGAGATCACATCTGCCAGTTCTTTTAATACTCTTGGATGCAGTTCATCTGGCCCTGGAGACTTGAATACATCTAAACTAGCCAAGTATTCTTGTACTATCTCCTTAGTTATTCTGGGCTGTGTTTCCTCTGCTGAATCATTTGCTCCAAATTCTTCAGGTCGGGCATTGTTTTCTTTATCAGAGAAGACTGAGGCAAAGAAGGCATTGAGGAGTTCAGCCCTTTCTGTGTCCCCTGTTTGCATTTCACCATCTTCTCCTCTGAGTGACCCCACTGTTTCTTTGTTCTTCCTTTTGCTACTGAACATACCCATAAAAGCCTTTTTGTTGCTTTTAACCTCTCTAGCAAGCCTGAGTTCATTCTGTGCTTTAGCTTTTCTGACTTTGTGTCTACACGTGCTGGCTATTTGTTTGAATTCCTCTTTGGTGGTTTTCCCCCTTTTCCATTTTTGTACACATCCTTTTTTAATCTTAACTCAGTTAAAAGTTCTTTAGATAGCCACCCTGGCTTCTTTAGGCACCTTCCATGTTTCCGTCTCATTGGTATTGCCTGACGTTGTGCTTTTACTATCTCCCTCTTAACAAACTCCCAGCCATCATGAACTCCCTTTCCTTTTAGTATTACTGTCCATGGGATCTCACCCAGCACTTCCCTAAGTTTTATGAAGTCGGCTTTCTTAAAGTCAAGAAATTGAGTCCTAGTATGCTTGGCTGCTCCTTTCCGCTGTATAGTAAACTTCAGAAGAGCATGATCACTCGCGCCTAATGATCCTTCCACTTCTACCCCACTAACCAGGTCATCAACATTGGTTAGGACCAGATCTAAAATGGCTGTTCCTCTTGTTGCTTCTCCCACTTTCTGGACAATGAAGTTGTCTGCAAGGCCAGTGAGGAATCTGTTTGACCTTATGCTCTTGGCTGAGTTTGACATCCAACAAATATCCGGGTAATTGAAGTCCCCATTACTACTATCTCCTTCTTTTTGCATGCTTGGCCATCTGTTCCAGGAAGGCATCATCTGTGTCCTCCGTTTGGCTTGGGGATCTATAGTAAACTCCCACAATGAGGTCACTGTTATTCTTCTCTCCCTTAATTTTGACCCAAATGCTCTCACTTTGGCTTTGAGGTTCTAAATCTTGGATCTCTTCACAGGTATACACATCCCTGACATATAACGCCACTCCTCCTCCTTTCTTGTCTGGTCTGTTTTTCTGAAATAGATTGTATCCCCCCATTATTACATTCCAATTGTGGGACTTATCCCACCAGGTTTCAGTGATGCCTATTATGTCATATTTAGTTTGCTGTACCAAGAGCTCAAGCTCATCTTGTTTATTTCCCATGCTTTGCGCATTAGTGTACAGACATTGAAGTCCATTAATCATTCCCCCATGTCTCTTATTTAAGGATTTTTTCCTCCTACCACTAGGTCTGCGTGCTGTTTGCTCCATTTGGTCTATGACATTTGGATGATCATCTTCATCAATTGATAGACTCCTACCTTCAGGAGCACTGTCTTCCTCCCCACATTAGTCAGTTTAAAGCCCTCCTGATGAGGTTTCTGAGATTTTTGGCAAAACATTTCTCCCAACTCGTTGTGAGGTGCAACCCATCGCTTGCCAGAAGTCCATCTTCAAGAAACTGCAGTCCGTGATCTAAGAATCCAAACCGTTCCTGTTTACACCATTTGCGAAGCCAGCTGTTCACTTCCACTATTTTCCCTCTCTCCCTGGGCCACGTCGTTCAACTGGGAGGACAGATGAGATGACAATTTGTGCATTTAATTGCTTCAATTTCCTGCCCAGAGCCTCGTAGTCTCTTTTGATCTTCTGGAGGCTATTGCTTGCAGTGTCATTGGTTCCCACATGAACCAAGAGGAAGGGTATTTGTCAGTGGGTTTTATGATTCCTTGCAGTCGTTCAGTTACATCTTGGATCTTAGCCCCAGGAGACAGCACACTTCCCGAGACATCTTGTCAGGCCCACAGATCACTGCTTCTGTTCCCCTCAGTAGGGAATCCCCTATCACCACTACACGCCTCCTCTTAGGTTTGTTCGGGGTCCTTCCGTGAGCTGTCCGTTCCAAGGTCGCCTGCACATTCCCTGAGGACTGACTTTGTGCCCTTGAATGTGGTATAGATTTTTATCCTTGAAAAGGTGGGCAGGGGCAAGAGACTTTTATTGATTTGAGATCTTTCCTTAGCAGTCCCAATCGTTGGGCAGAAAATATTGAATTGCAAGTAAGCCCTCCTTACAACACATTTACCTGTGTTATGTTACAAAAACAGGGCAGATATGATATGTTGAAAAACAGGGCTTCAAATGCAGTACTTAAACTACTATTTAGTTAAGAGTTGTACAGGTCTGTGGAAATGTAAAGAAACTGAAGGTACATTCTTTCACCTTTGGTGGACGTGCCCAAGGATTAAGGTTTTCTGGGAGATGATTTATAATGAATTAAAAAAGGTATTCAAATATACCTTCTTGAAGAAACCAGAGGCCTTTCTCCTGGGCATAGTCGGCCAATCGGTGTTAAAGAAGGACAGAACTTTCTTTATGTATGCTACCACAGCAGCAAGAATACTTATTGCAAAGCATTGAAGACACAAGACCTACCCACACTGGAAGAATGGCAGATGAAAATGATGGACTACATGGAACTGGCGGAAATGACTGGCAGAATCCGAGACCAGGGAGAAGAGTCGGTGGAAGAAGATTGGAAGAAATTTAAAGACTATTTACAGAAATATTGCAAAATTAATGAATGTTAGAATGATGTTGGATTGAAGTTAAGTGGTTTCTAGCTGTAATGGTATAAAAGAATATGGAAAAATTGGATTTTCAATACGTAAAAACCTAATGCTATAATATATTAAGATTAAAGATCAGGATAAAATAAGGAGGGAAAGGAATTGCTGAACTAATAAATTGAACTGGAATACAAAAAAGGGAGGCATGAGGAGGTCCGGGAAACAAGTAAATGAAAGATAAGTGATGAAAAGATGGAATTGTTTTTAATTGTTTTTTTTGTATTTTGTATTTTTCTTTCTCTATTTTTTTTATTCTTATCTATGTAACCTTTTTTTGAAACTTTAATAAATATCATTTTAAAAAAAAGAGTTGTACAGGTCTGTAGCACTCCTAGGTATCTTGATTTCTGTACAAAAAAACCAACCCTTAGTGGCACACAGAACTGGAAGTGTGGTTGTGTCTAGATCTCTTCAGAGGAAAGCTGTTGTAAAACAGGGTTGCACTATGCAAATTCTGAAATAAAAGCACTGTGCTGTAGTTTATTGATGCTGTGTTGAAGGCAAACATTGTTGTTTATCTCTGTTGTTTATCTTTTAGATAACATCAAATATTTGTGAGAAATTGAAGACTAGGAGCGCTTCTTTGCAGATTGGGTTTGTAAAGAAGGTATACTGACAACTTAAAGGTATCTGGCAAATACTTACACTGAATGAGCAGGAATGACAGTTGCATATTGGAAGCTTTCTATTGTGATTGATGCATGCACATTCTTTAAAGTGACGGAGAAGATTATATGTTAGAAATAATACTTACACAAATAAGCGTTATTTCTAACATAATCCTAACGCTTACACAAATAAGTGCATTCATTTTGAATGCTCATTGCATTCACCACTTGCTTCTGACCTGCTAATTTCATTTTCATTGCTTTTTGCATAATTCATATATCACAATAATAATAAAAGTGTATGTTGCAAAGTGCACTCTGGGACAATATTTTGATGTTGTTTTAGGTGTGGAAAATCTGCTCTATAAGCTCTTATTCCATTTTTTGATTAAATATCATCTAAAATTTCCACAACTTACTCTAACAAATGTTGTATTTTTAAATATGGACAAAATTGATATATTTCATTGACCCATTTGAACAAAAAGGTCATCAGCCACCTTATTTGTGTAAGTACTGGATTTATTTACAAGGTCAAAACAGCCCCACTTGTGAGTGGAAAATGCTTCTGATGGGTAGAGGAGAGGGATTTCCCATTTTTTTATTTTCAATCTCAACTCTTTGTACCTTCTCAGTCCTGCTCGGAAGGGTCCCCTGAACTTCAAGAGCATTTCCCCAAACCCGGGGATGAGAGACCTCAGTGCCTGCCTGGAATATGATGCATGTCTGCAAGGATCTCATCCAAAAGGGATGTGCTGGACAATTCCTTTTTTGCCAAAATAGGTCTTCAAACTAATCTGGCCACTTTTCCTTAGAAAAACATGTATTTAGAGAGAAATGTTGTATGACCTGAACATGACCCCAGTTGTAACAAAATGAAGATTGACTTAAACTGCCAAATTCCTTATTATATGTGTTACTCATTTTTAGAGCTGGTTAAAGTGTTTGGTATGTTTTCCCATCTGTTTAATGTCATTCCTTAAAAATAAATGGGGAAATGGCTGATCTAAATAACAGTCTTTCTTCCAAATATATTAGACTAGTACAAAAACCAACCACAAGGTACCAAAATCAACATATTTTAATGTGTGCATCCTTTATCCATCTTAATGTGGTAAGTACATTTCTTTTATTTTCAAAAATAGATAATTTTTTAGAGTATTCTGTGTTTCACATGCTGATGTGTTTTGTTGCTGTGGTTTTGGTCACATGGCGTTTGTGCTTTCCAAAGATTTCTGAGTACTGATAAGCTACATTTTAAACCTTTCCAGTTGCAAATAGGATCAGTCAGGACCAGTCTCTTGTGTACAAGTATTTTGGGCCTTGTGGAGTATGAGCCATCTAACCTTCAAATTGGTGGTTTTCAGCCTTTCAAGGATACTATTTCCACACTGACATCTGCTGAGCAATTGCTTCGCGCTGCTGGAGACTCTGACGTGTTCTGGCGCTCACGCTTAGCATGCATTGCTCCTTACCAATCCTGTTCGATCCCACCATCGAGCTGCAGGAATTGAGGGCCCCTCCCTAGAACACATGCACACTTTCCTGGAGCTGCACACAGCAGCAGAAAACTGGCAGTGACTGGCAAGCTATTCTTTGGCAAGCTTGCCTACCTGGAAGAATTGGTTAACAAACTTCGGAATACTGTAGCATCTTTGTTCGCCAAAGTGCAGAGAATATGCAGCCTTCATTCATTTAGGTCTCCATACTTAGCTGGTAATATCAATTTACGTTCTGCAGAAGAAGGCTCATATGGGATGCTGTATAGCTTGGTACTGAATGTCTCCAGCAGTTGCATAAATAGCCTCTATTTTTTTTTTTTAATGATATTTATTGAGAATTTTAAAGTTAAAAAGAATAAAGAAGTAAAAATAAGAAAAAAGAGAAAAAGAAAGAAAATAATAGATAAAAATAACAATTAAACAATACAAATCAATAAAAACCAAAATCAAAAAGAAAAAACAAAACACACAATACAACAATCAAAAAAACAAAAATATACAACATATTTAAAAACAAATCCAATTTTCCCAAATCCTTAACTTTCATTAACTTATTTCAT